AATATTCCTGTGCCTTTGTCTCCTCCTTTGCTCTTGGTCGTTGTACTTCCGGTTAGCAAATTCTTCTCCTTGTGGCAGGTTTCTAAGCACTGTAACGCACAGGTCTGCAATTTGATATTACTTATTGTGGTTGGTACACGGTCTTTTGTTTGCGGTCACTTGTGCTACTCCCTCCAGTGGGTTCCGGGTCTGAATTCTTATATTTCCACTGTGGTCTCCGTAGCCCCAGCACCTGGCTCACCACTCTCCACCTCCTGCGATATTGTGCTGAGGCTGTACCATTGTCTGAACAGCTTTTCTCCCCCTTCCAGTTGGAGCAGGTCCCAGAACTAGGGAGACACCAGGTGTCCTATATAGTTAGATTCTTGGTAGTGCTGATCTTGCAGAACCCATTGGCCACATGAACTGATTTTGTCCTGTACGATGCCAATGACTGCAGGTAGTTTTTTAAAAAGATTAGTTTATTTAAAAGGTAAAGTTAGAGAAAAAAAGAGATGTGTGGGAATATCTTCCAACATAGCTCCTCCCAGGCACATTAGCTTCCCGGATTGGAAGTGGAGGCATAGCAGGCAGACTTTGCTCACCATTCCACAACACTGACCCCAAAACGAAGGTAATTTAAAATAGCCATTAGCAGGATAAAAGGGAGATCTGGTTGAGGGTACACTGGTATCACAGGTGCAGCACCCAAGGCCATGCCTGTGCAACATCCTCAAGACTGTGGTTATCTCACACGTCCAGCCCAGCTTTGGTCACGTGGTGGGGGAGGAAGCAGACAGGTGCAGCAGGACTGCTGAGAGCTGGAGATGATGTAACCTCTTGCCTGGATATACCAAAAAGCACCCACATCTGAGTTGTACCCCGAACGTGTTAGACACCCAGCGTGAGATCTTTGTCTCTGCATCTATTTGTGCTTACTCACACACGTAGCATGTGCTTGCTTTTTGTTTGTTTTTTTTTTTAATTTGTTTGTTTAAAGTCATAGAGAGGGAGAGACAGAGAAGGAAAGAGATCTTCTGTCTGCTGGCTCACTCCCTAAATGGCAATAAAAGCCTAGGCTGGATACACTGAAGCCGGGAGTTTCATCCAGTTCTCCCATGAGGGTGCAGGGCCCAAGGTCAATTTCGAAGTCAGAGCCAGTGTTTCCAGAAAGCCTTCCCGTACTCCCAAACAGCCACTGTATGAATGTGTTGAGCTTCAGGGCAACGGTGGTAAAGGTGGCAACATCGTGTTGCATGATCCCGGATAACTAGTGTGCCGGTAGGACATGATGTGAGCTCAGTGTGCTGCTTAGTTGCACGTGGGTTGAAGGACCGTTGCAGAAGCACTCAGTAGCTGGTAGCAGTGCAAAGAGCTAGGTGAGTTTCTGCTCACTCCCTTCACTCACTTCTCCCAGCCCTCCCTGCCTGCTCCCAGCCCTCCCTTCCTGCTCCCCCCCTCCCTGCCTGCTCCCAGCCCTCCCTGCCTGCTCCCAGCCCTCCCTGCCTGCTCCCGCCCTCCCTGCCTGCTCCCTGTTGAGATGTATTCCTGAGGGTCGGAGGGGACTGAAGAAGCTTCCCCTCACAGGGAGTGCAGAGCGGTGTCCATCCAACCTGTGTCCACTGTGTGGTGTGAACAGATGCATCGCTTGCTGTTCTCTAGGAAACCATGACAACATAGCTCTCCAGTTACAAATTTGAGGAATGGTTAACGTAATAAAACACACCTATTTGTATGTATATAGCTGAACGTGGTTTGATAGAGTTTTCTCTTAAAAGTGTTATTACAGATGATGATCTAAAGTAAGCTTTTGCAGACCAATTAAGAAAACCTAACCTTGGTCTATAACATTGCTTCTATGGAAATTCCTTCTTAGTTTTGATATTTACATAATTGAGAAGGATGTATGCTCATGTAGGCCACTGGTTAGGCTAAGGCATGAAGGAAGATGGGGTGGGAGAAATGTTTGCCATTTTTTTTCTCCTGTATGGAGGGGAGGGCAGGTAGGACCACTCCGTGCTGCCAGACTAAGTCAGCACCTGGGGATTGGGAATGGCCACTTGATATCATCTTAGAGTCATGTTACTTGAGTGATTTTGATACTTCCAAGCCATTGTTGGTTTTGTTGATCCAGATTGAGAAAAATCTTTCCAAGGTCTGTTGGTTGACAAGTCCAGCTTCATGCATCTACACATCCAGGCACTTGGTGCCAAACCTTGGCCAGGAGAGTTGTCCATCCTGTTCTGCATGCCATCCTCTGACCTGGCACTCGACTTCCTCTGTTAATGTAAATGAGCTGGCTGTCATGTCCCCTGTGTGCATTTGGGCATGCTGACCACTGCATAGGCGCCAGCAACTGAGGAGACCCAGCCCCTATACATGCATTCCAAAGTCAGACTATATATCTTATGATTTTCCCTGTGGGTGGAGTTTGAGTCTAACAGTCTAGTTAGAGGATCCCCCAAGAAACCTTGCCTGAGGTTACTGCAGACCTAGCTCATGTGCCAGCTAGTGCGGAAGCCAATTCAGTCTGTCACTATGTCAGCCTACACACGTTAGTGAATGCTGGTGCCTGTTCAGTACGGTCCCAAATCCCATCTCCTATGCAAACCAGCATAGTACCACCAGGTACTGTGGCCTAGCCCAACCCAGCCTGCCACAAACTTGGCCCTACACACACCAGCAGAAACTGCAGCCTAGGTAGGGTATGCTGCAGTAACCCCCTCCACCTCCCCCAGCCCTGATTCCTGCACATGCTAGTAAATGCACATGAGTCCAGTCCAGTTTGTCCCATATCATTCAGAACCATGGGTGGTGCGGCTTAGCTCAGCCCAACCCACCCCCATGCCCAGCCCATACGCTAACAGGTGCTGCTGCCTTATCCAGCCTGACCTGCCCCCAGCCTCTCGTACTCAACGATGGGAACTGCATTCTAGCCAAAGAGTGACCACACTTTCCCTGCTAGACCCAATCTCATTCCCACATCTTGTGCTTACCAGGGGGTATTGTCATCAGCCTGACATGACTTACACCCAGTCCCAGCACATGCCAGCAGATGCTGCCACAAAATCCAGCAGGCCCACTTCTGGCTCTTGCACGTATCAGTGCATCCAGTTGCCTAGCCTAGCCCAGCCTTCTCCCAAGTCCAGCCACATGCAAGCCAACAGGTATTGCAACCCTGCCCTGACTATTCCACCCCAGTCTTGGCTTTCACGCTCAGTGGGAACAGTGGCCCAGCAGGGAAGTTCCTGAAGTTCCCTTACCAAACTCACTCTCCCTGAGGTCTTGTGCATGCTGTGGATCCTGTAGTCTAGTTTGACTCTGCTCAGCCTGCCCACAGTCCCAGCTCATGCTGGTGGGTGCTTTAGCTTAACCCAGCCTGGACTGGCCCAGTCCAAACCAGACCCAGCTCATGCGCATACCGAGGGGTGCTGCAGCCATGTTCAGCCCTGTCCATCCCAGTTCCTGCTCTCGTGCTAACCTCGCAAGAGAGTTCCTTTAGTTCCCCTACAAAGCCTGCTTCGAGCTCTGGATCTCGTAGCTGCTGGTGGTTCTCTGACCCAACCTAGCATGGCCCACCTGCAGTCCTAGCATTGGGTGCTGCATCCTGGCATGGTCTACACCCCATCCTACCCAACAGAAGAAATTGGACCACTCTCCCAGACAAGTGTTGACAGCAAGTATCTGGGCGAATGGAGGCTCTAAAGTGGACTATGTCAGCCAGTGCACCTTGGAAGGAGTGTCTCTCCTTGGAGCAACAACATCAGCAGTATTTCAGAAGTATCGAAACCATCTGAGTAGAACCTTCAGCACATGCTCCACATTGGAGACCCTGGGAAGACATCAGGTGGCTGGTCCCCATCCCCAGGTACTGATGTGGTTAGGTTGCTGGCAGCTTCTCCCCTTTTTTCCCCTCTTCCCCCAGATACAGGAAAAAGACAAAAGAAATAGGAAACAATGGTCTCATCTACTTTCCCCTATTCCTTGGCCCTTCCCACCCTAGTCAGTGGTACACATGGGCACGTATCCTTCCCAACTATGTAAACATCATAAAAAATGAAATTTAGAAAAGCGTGTGAAGGAGAAAAAGGATACCTGCACCTCCTCTGCTCTCAGGTGAATAAATAATACATGTATACAAATTGACACAAGTTGCTTAATGACTCACTAGTCTTTACTGGCCAGCACAGCCTTTGCTCTCCATCCACGTGAACCTGCCTCTCTTCGGTTGTGCTGTTCTCAAGGTCCTGCCCCACAGTGCAGTATTCCTTAAGTGTGCTGCACACGGCCCCTCATCGACCCCAAACAAGCAGTTGCTGCTTACTCTGTTTGACTCGTCTGAAAGGCTTTGTACCCACATGCTGCCAGCAGGTGGGGCTAGGCCAGACCAAAGCTTCAGGAGCCCTGTCTGGTCTCCCCGGCTGGCAGGGACCCACGGACTTGCCCCTCCCCTGCTGTGTCCCCGGCCCTGCGCTAGCAGAAAGCTGGATCCAGGTGCCGGCAGATAGCTCGGTTGGCTGGTCCTCTGCCTGCAGGACTTGCACTCTTGTACATGTTTAGGCATTGCAAGCAGCTGACGTGTTCAACATGTGCTTCCACTGCAGTGCATGAATTGCACTACACTTGTGTGTTTCTCCAGTGGATGTTTCAAGCAGTCCTCTCTCAGTGACATCTCCAAGGAAGATCTTTGAGAACTTGAACTGTTGTTAGATTCTCGTGGCCATCAGAGAGTTCTGGCACATTTTGGAATTTGAACATTCTTTCATTGCATTCCGTCAGTGAACTTATGGATTCATTTCTTTTAATCTGTGAAAAAATATGACTGTAAAATATCTTGCATGTTTGGTGATGTGTTTAAATCTCTTATGTATTTATAGGTGGAGGTGTTTGTTGTGACTAGTTGGAACACTGACTAATATACCTAATTGTTTGCTATAGAAGAGGTTCATCTGGAATACCTTCATATGCAGTTTCTGTGTTCCTCTTTAAGTTATACCAGCTATCATTTGCTCAATTTCTAGGGTTCAACTGCACGGATAGACCACGAAACAGCCAGTGTTCTGAGTTCAAGCAGCACACACTCCGCTCCTCGAAGGCTGACAAGCCACCTGGGCACCAAGGTAACAGAAGACGGCCAGCCCTAGCCACTCGGGCTCCAGACAATGCTAAGACATCCTGGACGTTCTTTAATGCAAAATCTCTCTTTAAAGATAAAATTAAAAAGATGCGTTAGAATGTCAAAGTTACAGAGAGGTCTTCCAGATCAAGAAGTCACCTGCTGATTATTCCCCAAGTGGCCAGGCCAGCACCAGGAGCGTCATCTGGGTCTCCCATGTGGGTGGCAGGGGCCTATACACCTGGCATCTCCCACTGTCCTCCCAGGCCATCGGCAGAGAGCTGGGTCGGGATGAGCCAGCATCGTACGGAATGCTGTTGTCTCCGGTCCTGTTCTGACCATCAGAACTCTTGAAGAAATCGCGCCTAATACCAGGAAGCACAATCGGGGAAACAGGGTTATAAACTGCTGCAAATCGTTTTTTTGTTTTGTTTTGTTTTTTCTCCCCACAATGAAGTCATGGGGGGAAGTTTTGGGGTTTTTTTGTTTGTTTGTTTGTTTGGGGGCTTTTTTGTTTGTTTTGTTTTTTGTTTTTAGAAAATCAGATATACAGAGAGGAAGATCTTCTAGCTGCTGATTTATTCACTACCCAAATGGCTGCAATGGCCAGAGTTGAGCCAATCCAAAGCCAGGAGCCAGGAGACTTCTGGGTCCCCCATGTGGTGCAGGGTCCCAAGGCTTTGGGTTGTCCTCGACTGCTTTCCCAGGCCACAGGCAGGGAGCTGGAAGGGAAGCGGAGCTGCCGGGATTAGAACCGGCGCCCGTATGGGATCCCGGGTGTGCAAGGCGAGGACCTTAACCACTGCGCCATCGCGCCGGGCCCCCATTAAATATTTTTACAGCAGACTGCATATACTAAATTTTCACGCTAAACAATGGCTCCTGGGAAATATATTAGTGAGATAGTTCCTGTTAGTTTCAGAAATAGATTTTAGTGTGATCCATGGTATTGTCAGAATGACATGTAATCTCTTTATAATCACAGAATTCACTTGTTGGTGCCTGTGCCAGGGGCTGTGGTTGGACTTTTGTTACGTTATCTCTGATCATGTCAAAACTATGAGGCATGCCTGTTGCTTTCAAGAAAAACTAAGCCAAAGGTAAAAGGTTCAGGTCCCTCTTAGATCACATTGAAATTCATCTCCAGAACAGTCAGCTCTAACACCCGGCTGTACTGTGAAAGCAGACTTCAGGCAGGCATTGGGTTCAGGGTTAGGGCAAGACTTGGGGTGCCCTCACCCCACGTCAGAGGGCCTGGTTCCGGTTCCAGCTGCTGCTAATGTGCTCCCTGGGAGGCAGTTGTTGACGACTCGGATACAGGAGTCCCTGCCACCCAGTAGGAGACCGAGAGTGGAGTTGTGGGCCTGGCCAGCCCTGGCTGCTGTGGACACATCTGAGGAATGAACCAGTGAATGCAATCAGTCTCATTTTCTCATCTGTTACTTTACCTTTCAAATAAAATGCAAGTAAAAAAAAACGAAACAAAAAAATTCTTGCAGCAGGCAACTCCCTTGGTACATGTGCAGCCCAGATCCTGCCTCAGTTCCTAACTCCACTTCCTGTGCAGGTAGTCCTGGGAGGCAGGTGGTAGTGGCTCCAGTCACTGAAGCCCTGCCACCCACACAGGAGCCTGCCACCCACACAGGAGCCCTGCCACCCACACAGGAGTCTGCCACCCACACAGGAGCCCTGCCATCCACACAGGAGCCCTGCCACCCACACAGGAGCCTGCCACCCACACAGGAGTCTGCCACCCACCTTGAAGCTTGCCCGTTCTGCTCGCAGCTGCTGCAGACACCTGGGGAGTGAATCAACAGGCATAGATAGGAGCTATCATTTTGTCTGCTTATCTACTTTACAAATTAATATTTTTAGCGTGTCAACAAAAAAAAGAAAATCACCTATTTTCAACCGACTGTTGTATAAAAACTGACAATACCTTTCCTTTTTGAAGTAATTTGTGCACGATATTAAAACTTTGCAAATTATTTTGAATGGCAGCTACTGTCCTGTGTGGGTATTATGTAGCTAGTCTTCATAGAGAAAAGCCTGTTAGGTAAACTCTTCCGTTTTCAGCTCCGAGTAATGAAGTGGTTTGGCTAGCATCACACAGTCTGCCGTGTGTTGGTGGACAGCCCCATGCGGCTCCCTGCAGCTCATGCCGAGAGCAGCTCTCCTGGTCAGCATAGGGGCTGGGATTCCTTGCCATGCCGTCCTGTGATGTTCTGCAGCACCCAGACAACCCAACGCTTTGCAGCTGCAACTGTGACAAGAATAAACACCTCCTGGTCATCGAGGGGGACAGGAGTGCGCCTGAGACGCACTGGTTTACAGGGATGACAGTTCTTTATCTAACAGCTCTGGCTCTGCACTGAGCTTGAGCCTCCAAGATCCCTGTGTTTCTAAGTGGATCCTGGCGCTCACTGTCAGAGAATAATTTGATGCTTACCAGTTGCTTATAAAAAACAAGCAAGGAATTATGAATCTTAGCTGTGTCGCTCTCTCTGTGATTGTGACTTTTTTTATGAGAAAATTGTTAATGTGCATTTTAACATAATTCGATAAGAGTTAATATTTAGTAAAGGTTAAATGTTAGAGAAAAAGTTTTCTATTGATTTTAGCAATAAACTATAAAGTTTTAAATTGTACCAAGAATTTTGATAAGCCTCATTCCTCATGCATATTGAAGGCTGATTCCCATTCGTAGTTACCACCGTCTGTGCAGACAGCCTCCTGCTGTGTCTCGTCCCAGTGCCGCGCCTGCCAACACAGCAGGGCTGGCGGGTGCATTGCTTCAGTAACCCCTGCCTCACATGACTTCATCCTGAAAGGTTTTGCTTTTGCTTGTGATTTTCATGAGTTGCTGTAGATGTTCCATTCATCACGTCAGTGGCGTTGACTGTTAGATACTGAGGTCATAATTTTGTTTCTACACTCGTTTGGCCCACAGGTGGAAATGGTGTATTCATTGTTGTCAATGCTCGGTACCCATGATAAGGATGACATGTCACGAACTTTGCTGGCTATGTCCAGCTCCCAAGACAGCTGCATATCCATGCGACAGTCTGGATGTCTCCCTCTTCTCATCCAGCTCTTACATGGCAATGACAAAGACTCTGTGTTGTTGGGCAATTCCCGGGGCAGTAAGGAGGCTCGGGCCAGGGCCAGCGCAGCCCTCCACAACATCATTCACTCACAGCCTGACGACAAGCGAGGCAGGCGTGAAATCCGAGTCCTTCATCTTTTGGAACAGATACGAGCCTACTGTGAAACCTGTTGGGAGTGGCAGGAAGCCCACGAACAAGGCATGGACCAGGACAAAAATCCAAGTAGGTGCTCTGTGTGGTGTGCATCAGTATGCATGTTTCAAAGCAAGTATAAAAGTTGAAGAAATTGTAACTCCTTATGAAGAGTTTTGACATTATGGGGAAAATCGGTCAGGAGTGGAAATTAGGGGGAAGAGAACCCAGACTATACAGAACTGTATGATAAATTTCAAAAATAAATTTTTTTTAAAAGTTGAAGGAAAGAAACCTATAATTAATGTATAATCTTTATCACTAGGAAAGGGAAATTTATATAAGCCATCTATGCTGCTAACGTGTTTTTAAAAGTACATTTTAATTCTGTATTTCTCTAGGGGGAAAAAAATTGAGACTAGGTAAGGCTGTGAGCAGGGAGCAGGGTCAGAGATAGAGTGACCAAGATTCTAAGCAGTGCCCACATGAGGGTGCTGGCATCACAGGCAACAGTTTTAGCCAATATGCCACATGCCAGCCCCTACCTAGAAATGTTTAACAAAGGACAATGTCATGTGAAACCAAAAAGGGACCGTTTATTGCGTGCATAGCTGGGAGGGGCTGTGAAGAGTGGCCGCTGCCCATCTGCTTTTCTGAGGAAGAAGCTCAAGGTGGCCTCTTCCAGAATCCTCTGTGTTTGCATATCTACTTGTTCAGTGGGCACAGAGCTGTGTTGTGTCTGCGGTGCTGTGTGATTCTCAGAACCGCCCGATGGGAAACAGAAGCTCAGAGGCCGAGCAGTGCTCGGTGGCCTCACCACGGGCTGCTCGCTCTGAGCTGCAGCCCCAGCCTGCATGGGTGGTGACAACACACCCATCTCTGCAGTCCCTCTGCTGAGGGACAGGGGACATGGACACTGTGACCCTTGGAGATTAATTCAGCAGTTCGTGCAGCCGAGCACCAGAAGCAGCACGTGTGTTAGGTGAGACCTTCCTGACTGCGAAGAGTTGGCTCCCTCTCCCTCTTTCTCACACACATTTGCAAAGCAAGAGAAATGATAATGAGAACAAGACTAGCAGATATTCTCTAAGCGTGAGCATAGATTCTTTAAAACCTAGAGAGTTCCAGGACCTTTGCAGTGGTGCCTGACTTTGGACTAGCCCAGTGCTGGCTGTTGCAGCAATTTGGGAAGTGAGCCAGCATAGAAAGAAGAGCTTTCTCTCTCCCATTTTCACTCATTCAAATAAAATTAAGTTGTTTATTTATTTATTTAAAAAGTGTTAAGGATAAGGGTAAAAGGTACCTACAGCAAAGGATCCCTGATACTCCTTTCCTATCCAGGTGCTGGTTTGGGAGAGCATTTCCTGTGGGGGCTGCCTGCCTTGGCCCTTGCAGTGTGAAATTTCCCCACAGTTTGTACTCTGGATGGAGGTTGCTGTTAAAGTTTGTTTTTGTCAGATAATGAGTTTTTCATCTTTGTACATCTTGTTGTATGTAGAGGTACATTTCTTGGACTCCTTTTCCTCTAAGCTTCTGTTAATTTCCTAAGGCATCTATGGCAGACTGTATAGCAGTACCCAGCCTTGTAACCTATGCTACGACAGTAGTTTACACAGAAATTAGAAGTAATTATGGACCAGGAGTTTCATTCTTTCCTATTGGCAGCATCATGAAATTTAAACTCTTAGTTATTTGATGTACAGCATCCACCAACAAGGCGCTGGCTGCTGGATGTGGTTGAAGGCAGACGCGCAGTACGCATTTCGGTGAAGCTCAGGAGAACCCTTCCCTCCTGCCTTGTGGCGATGGGCGTGTGCATTACGGATGTACTGTGGGCCCTGGCTACTTCTGAAGTTTTTGGAAGAAACAAAAGGTCACTGTTTCTGTCAATTTTGTTTTTCAGTGCCAGCTCCTGTTGAGCATCAGATCTGTCCTGCTGTGTGTGTTCTGATGAAACTTTCCTTTGATGAAGAGCATAGACATGCAATGAATGAACTTGGTAAGACAGAAGCGTGTCTCGGTGCCACATGCACCAGTGGATTTTACGTCCTGGTAGAAAGTGTAGGAAATGAAGGTTTCCTGTTGGTGAACAGAGAGATCAGGCTTCTGATGTGTGTTACTACCTTGTCCATCTTACAACAAAAATCTGTACCGTAGTCTGCTTCAAAAGAATTTGCACAACAGCTGCTGCTGCCCACTCAGAAACTGACGGGGCTCTTCCCACTCAGCCGCCTGCTGCAGGGGGAGTTGTTGGGAAGGATGTAGCATTGTCCTCTGAGTTTTGAAAGCACCTGGAAGAAATAGTGTTAACTCTCCCCTGCCCTCATGGTTACCAGCATCTTCGTGGCTTCAGCATAAGCTGCATGCTATCTTTGAAACTGATTAATATGGAAAAACGTCATGGTGCAATTGAAACTAGGAACATTAATTTTGGCAGTTCCTCCTTTAGTTATGTGCTATCACACAACAGAACCCTTATTCACCCTGCGTTTGTGCACCCCATCTTCATGTAATGGTTTTCTTTGATTTCTAGGTTCATTTGTGCACGTGTGGTATTTGTAACTTGCATCGTGCTGAGCCTTCTCCCAGTCGTGCCACAAGCGAGAACGTGCACTGAGTGCCCGTCTCAGTGTCTGCGCCCTTGCTTCTCTCTGTTGTTACACTCCATTTCAGCTCCCACCTCTTCTCCCTCCACCCTCACCATTGTCGCTACTCATTAATTTTAAAAGCATTGAAGTCATGAGACTTGAACACAGAGAAACTGAACAGCCAGAGTGTGTTCTCCGAGTTCTCCCCTGGGGAGACATGCACCACAGGCTTCCGGTCTGCCTTCCAGCCGCACCTGGCTGCCTGGGGTCCCAGTGTCACCCCATCTTTCCTCCCACTGGTCAGCCTGAGGCCGTCTCCCTTTCCCAGTGAAAGCTCAGCAGCTTTGAAAAGTTTAAGATTAATGTTGTTCTGCTAATAATATTGGGAGGAGGTTAAAAAATGTACACAGGAAAATAAATACAATTTTGAGTAATTGCAGAGTATTTTTTAAAAATAAGTTCCTGTGTTTCCATGGACTGTAGACTAGGAGTGACACATTGATCATCTGATTTTCAATATTAAACCTAGACTCAGTATTTGTTCCTCTTCCTTCTTCAGGTAGGAAGGCTCCCCGGGGCATTTCATCACAGCAGCTAGGGCAGGGGCTTTCAGGTGAGGAGCAGGACCGGGCCTCGGGGGTGTGGCTGCTGGGGGTGTAGTCACAGGGGACTTCCTTCGCACTCCCAGCCTCAGTGCTGGGAAAAAAGGAGGATTAATTGTGTGGGTTGGGGCGGTGGAGATAGTGTGAGGAGGACAGGGACCAGCAGTGAGAGAAAGGCCACACAGGTAGGCAGAGATAAATCCTTCAGCCCAGAGTGCTGCTTGTGCACACACAGATCTAGAACTAGCGCAGTGCTGCCTGCACACACAGGTCTAGAACTAGCACAGTGCCGCCTGCACACACAGGTCTAGAACTAGCACAGTGCTGCTTGTGCACACAGGTCTAGAACTAGCACAGTGCCACCTGCACACAGGTCTAGAACTAGCACAGTGCCGCCTGCACACACAGATCTAGAACTAGCACAGTGCCACCTGCACACAGGTCTAGAACTAGCACAGTGCTGCTTGTGCACACAGGTCTAGAACTAGCACAGTGCCGCCTGCACACACAGGTCTAGAACTAGCACAGTGCTGCTTGTGCACACACAGGTCTAGAACTAGCACAGTGCCGCCTGCACGCACAGGTCTAGAACTAGCACAGTGCTGCCTGCACACACAGATCTAGAACTAGCACAGTGCCGCCTGCACACACAGGTCTAGAACTAGCACAGTGCCGCCTGCACACACAGATCTAGAACTAGCACAGTGCTGCTTGTGCACACACAGGTCTAGAACTAGCACAGTGCCGCCTGCACGCACAGGTCTAGAACTAGCACAGTGCCGCCTGCACACAGGTCTAGAACTAGCACAGTGCTGCTTGTGCACACAGATCTAGAACTAGCACAGTGCTGCTTGTGCACACAGGTCTAGAACTAGCGCAGTGCTGCCTGCACACAGGTCTAGAACTAGCGCAGTGCCGCCTGCACACAGGTCTAGAACTAGCACAGTGCCGCCTGCACGCACAGGTCTAGAACTAGCGCAGTGCTGCCTGCACACACAGATCTAGAACTAGCACAGTGCCACCTGCACACAGGTCTAGAACTAGCACAGTGCTGCTTGTGCACACAGGTCTAGAACTAGCACAGTGCCGCCTGCACACACAGATCTAGAACTAGCACAGTGCTGCTTGTGCACACAGGTCTAGAACTAGCACAGTGCCACCTGCACACACAGGTCTAGAACTAGCACAGTGCTGCCTGCACACACAGATCTAGAACTAGCACAGTGCTGCCTGCACACACAGATCTAGAACTAGCACAGTGCTGCTTGTGCACACAGGTCTAGAACTAGCACAGTGCCACCTGCACACACAGGTCTAGAACTAGCACAGTGCTGCCTGCACACACAGATCTAGAACTAGCACAGTGCTGCCTGCACACACAGATCTAGAACTAGCACAGTGCTGCCTGCACACACAGATCTAGAACTAGCACAGTGCTGCCTGCACACACAGGTCTAGAACTAGCACAGTGCCACCTGCACACACATGTCTAGAACTAGCACAGTGCCACCTGCACACAGATCTAGAACTAGCACAGTGCTGCTTGTGCACACAGATCTAGAACTAGCACAGTGCTGCTTGTGCACACACAGGTCTAGAACTAGCACAGTGCCACCTGCACACAGATCTAGAACTAGCACAGTGCTGCTTGTGCACACAGATCTAGAACTAGCACAGTGCTGCTTGTGCACACACAGGTCTAGAACTAGCACAGTGCCACCTGCACACAGATCTAGAACTAGCACAGTGCTGCTTGTGCACACACAGGTCTAGAACTAGCACAGTGCCGCCTGCACACAGGTCTAGAATTCGCAGAGTCCTTTTAATTCTGGATTGTTGCAGTAGTGATGTGTTCTTACTAATGCCTAGGTCGGACTCCTTGCCTGTTTACACTGGTTTCTTAAAATGATAACCACGTGGTCCTGGCCTCTAAGTTAATGCTTGCTGTCATGTGGTACTTATGCTGCATGACATACACATAGCTGCAGCACCTGCTAGGCACAGTCGGAGGCAGAGCCCAGGTTCCCTGGGAGAGAAGTGGAGGCCAAGGGACTGTCATGATCAGGAAACTTGGGAAACACTTGACTTTGGAAAGCAGGTTTTAGGTGGCCTCCCTTGCTGACAGTGGCTTCCTAAACCAGTTAGATGTCATCTGTCATTGATTCTGTTTAATATCGCCTCAGGTAGTTGCTTCCCAAGTATCTCTGATGCCAAAGATAGGCGTGTTGGCCTCACCTGCCTTCAGAGATCACTTTAACATGAAGTGGGGTGCGCTGGTCATCTCACAGCTTTGAAATGTTCTTGTTAGGGCAGCCAAGATTTATTCTGTCAGTCATGAGTTTGTATCATATTTCAGTCAAACCATTTGAATTTTTGAATTGTATGGAATTCAGTAAATTTTTTCTGAAATCCTAAGACATTCTCTCCTTTTATGTGATGTTCCAAATTTTATTCCATGTTCTTTCTTCATTAGCCATGCTCATCATATCATTTTTTTTTTCCAAATCAAGTTCTCAACTTTTTTTCTTGCAGGAATACTCAGTTGTTGAATCATTTTCTGCTTTATGGGACCTTTAGATACATTGCATCTTTCTTAAGATAGTATTCCAAGTGTATAGTGTCCCAAGTGTTGTTCAGCAACATTTTATGGAGACAAAAGTGTGGTGTGGTTGGCCTGACTCTGACGGCTGCCTGGTGAGCGTCTTCCCGTGTCTCTCGGCCGCAGCCTCAGGGCTGCCCTGATCCTCTCTCTGCTGACTGCTTTCCCTTTACCGAGGCCCAAAACAGTGGAACTTGTGGAAGCTCTGTCCTGGGCTCCCGTCTCCTCTGTGAGGTCATCCATCACTCCCACAGTTCGGTTACTGACGTTACTGTGCAGTTTGTGTTCATCCAGTCTGTCTCTGCCGAGTTTAGGTGCATTATTGAACAGCTTTCTCGAATCTGCCCCTTACTTAACTGAAACTTTCAACTCTGTCAACAAAGTGAATGCACTACCTCCTCTGTCACCCAGTCTCTGCTTTCTAGAATTTCTTTTTTCAAAGACCGGTATGCTAATGCACCTGTTGCTCAGGCAGCAACCTAGAAGTAACAGTGATGCAGTCCCCAGCTCTGCCTGCAGTGTGGCTGAGGGGTCTATTCCATAATAAATCTCAAATGACTGCCCTTGTCCAAGCCCCTCTCTCCTTTCCGGAATGCTTTGTCTTATTCGTCTCCCCACTCGGAGTCATGGTGCCTTCTTTTCCACACACCAGCTGCCGCCAGTTCAGAATGCGCAGATGATCATCGCTGCCTCTGCCGAAGGTCTTAATATGACACACGGAGTCAGGTGTTCTAGCCTTCGTCACTGGACATCTCGCGTGCTTTAATGCTTTCTTGTTCTTGCCCTTGGCAAAGGCTTGTTTGTCCCTTAGCTACCAAGTATTGTTTCCTTAGCCCTTTCCTAAGGACACCCACTCCCAGGTGACACGAGGTTCACCTGGTATCTTATCCTGGACTAGTGCACAACCCATCACACTTTAACCGGCAGGTCCATGTCTGTGTGTCTCTAATCTGTAAGTTCTGTAAAGATAAAGACTGTTTTCTTCATTAGTCGTTTATTTTTGTTCCATCATGTTTAGACTAAGTGAAATCTACATAGATTTAACTATCATCTACTCAGTATTCACTTACTGCATTCAAACTCAGTTCTACTTGTGTTTAAGATTTTTCATGAATCTTCCTACAGATAAATTTTTGGGCCTGGAATTCTTGACCCAAGATACAACTTTATTTTACAGATTTACCCATTCTTCTATGTCCAGATCATTCGAGATCATCTATAAAAACATGACTGCCCTGGTGTCTTTCAGGTGATTGTCCAGACCAGAGTGTGAGGTCACCTGCTTATATTCACCTTCTTGTTTGTTATTATTTTCTCAGCTTTTCTCTGTGTCAAAATAACCTTCCAAGTCCATGACAGTTGATGTTTGATGATGAATACTGCTCAGAATAACTTCCATATCCATTTTATCTTCCGTTTGTTCACTCCCTCACCATGTTGCTTCACCTTTTTTTTTTTAACTCTTTCCCCTTGCTTTCTTTCTTGCCTTCCTGCGGTGGGCCCCATGGGCACTGTCAAGCATGCCCGGAGCCTAACCTCAGGGGAAGGATACACCAGGTTCCTAGGGCAGCCAGTCATTGCTGCTGCCAAAGAGCAGCAAGCCACTTCTTAGAAAACACAATTGAGTCATTTTTTAGAACATAGTGTTATATTCAACACTAATTTTTTTCACCCAAAAGACAAGTTTTGTCTCATGTGCAGTTTCATGTCCAAATTTCAGCATTCTTGAGGTAATTTTTCAGCCAACTATAAAAGATATTAATTAGCCCACTGTGTGTAACAGTGAAGAGTATTTCTAAAGGCCCAGGCTTAACACCTTCTGTTTCTGTTCAGGGAGACCTAGCTTTAAGAAATAGCCGCCTCCGTTATTGGCAAGGTTCGGGGTAAACGTGGTAATTAGAAAATAGTGTTGCTTTCACTCAGTAAGCAAGGACTGGTGGGTGGGGAACTGGCAGAAAATGGAAGCGCTGACACAGAAGTCTTTCTAACAGTTTTTGTGGCTTGTAATTCTAAACACAAATACAAAATATTCTTTAATGTCTTTCTCTAACGTAAGAGTTACTAGTTGGTGCCAGCATGCTTAATCTTAGAGCATTATCTTTTTCCTCTTACCCTTTTTAAATCAGGGGGACTACAGGCCATTGCAGAATTATTGCAGGTGGACTGTGAAATGTATGGGCTTACCAACGACCACTACAGTATTACATTAAGGCGATATGCTGGGATGGCCCTGACGAACTTGACCTTCGGAGATGTAGCCAATAAGGTATGCTTTATAACATCCATTTCTTAAGATAGCTCAGATATACATTAATTTACTTGCATACAAACCACTTCTGACTTTCTTTTTGTCCCACTCCTCATTAAATCATGATAATAACCTAGACCTCACCCCACTGCACACACTCTTCCCCATTTGGTTGTCTCGTGGGGAAAGGAGGCGCACAGCCACAGGTGGAACACAGGACTTGACGTAGGCGTGGACTTCTGTAAGCGCTGTCAGCACCTGGTAAACAGCAAAGGGCTGAGCATCCTGCTGGCAACAATGTCGCCAACACTCCAGTCTCCTGCAAACAAGAGACCTTGCTTTACAATCCTGTGCACGTCACTTCTTTTATATTCACTTTACTTATCTAGAGTGGCAAGGAAAAGCAACACATTATTAGAAGGGTATCTGTCTTTTACTTAGATAATCTTATATCTCTTCTGGGTGAAATAGCAGTTTCAGTTAAAATATGACAGTGTGAAGGTGAGAAGCAGAGAGAGCACAGCTGCGGGCTCTGGTCGCTGAGCCGTTCTCTGTTACTGCAGGCGACACTCTGCTCCATGAAGGGCTGCATGAGAGCGCTCGTGGCCCAGCTCAAGTCGGAGAGCGAAGACCTGCAGCAGGTATGCCGTTGTGCGCGGGTGTTCACTGTTCTGATTTAGATTGCACTCTAGCTGAGTATGCAGCATCTTGTGTTTAGAATGGGTTCCAATGCTGGAAATAAGTAAGTAACTTGTAGGAGTCTCTCCTGGCGTTTAGGAAGAATTTATTAGTAGATTTGTGCTTTTATCTGTCATGAAAAAAGAACAATCAGTATGAACTTTCTTTATAGACTATTCTAAAATGGATTTGTTTGCAGGTTATTGCAAGTGTTTTGAGGAACTTATCTTGGAGAGCCGATGTGAACAGTAAAAAGACGTTGCGCGAAGTTGGAAGTGTGAAAGCCTTGATGGAATGCGCTCTGCAAGTTAAGAAGGTACCTTGGAGGTCACTGAGTTCTGTAACAGCACTTTCCATCTCAGCTGGTTTTTGGTTGCCTGTTCCTGCCCAGGAGAGTTCTGGATTTCTAAGCTGTGTCACCATTGTGTAGCTTTAGAGATAGCTTAGTGCCATCCAAGGTTTCCCTTGGCGCAGCGCTGAGGTGGAGGTGGCGGGGTCGCCAGTTTTCCCACAGTGGGGTGTCCGTAGCATCGCTGGCCTTTGCCCACCAGCTGCCAAGACACCATCCCTCCCTCTGTGACAATCCGGAACATCTCCAGACATTGCCAGACAACCACAGAAAGCAGGAGGGGCAGTCACCTGAGCTGAGCGTCACTAATGGATCACCTCGGTGCTCCACATCTGAGTCTCCTGAAGTCCTCAAAAGTTACTGCCTGCTAGCTTATCAAGAGGTGGTCTGCCCGAGTTTGAGGAATCCCAGTCGTCATCTGCTGTGACAGGAAGTATCTCCAGGTGGAGGATGAGCTCCAAAAACTGCTCAGTTTAAGGAAGAAAGAGAGAGAAGTGAATGTGAGGTCTGAGAGAGACCAAGTAAACATCCTTAGGTAATCTGGGCTTCCTTTCACCCACCATCCCTCCAGAGCACAGCCGGGAGCCAGGTCTCCCTGTGGGCAGCAGGCCAAAGCATGTGAGTGGCCAGCTCCTGCCTCCGGGTGCGTCAGCAGAGGGGCTCAGCTGCCCCTGTTGGGGCGCGGGAGCTGGCTGGCAGAAGCAGCCAGGCCTTAACCCACCCGGCCACATCTGCTGTGGAGGTTTTTTTGTTTTTTCTTTAGTTCACATGTTTTTGCAAAAGCTTTTTTTTTTTTTTTTAAGATTTATTTGTTTTTATTAGAAGGTCGGATATATAGAGAGGAGAGACAGAGAGGAAGGTGTTCCATCCACTGATTCACTCCCCAAGTGGCTGCCATGGCCGGATCTGAGCAGATCTGAAGCCAGAAACCTGGAGCCTCTTCTGGGTCTCCCACATGGGTACAGGATCCCAAGGCTTCAAGCCGTCCTCAACTGCTTTCCCAGGCTGGGTTTAGAACCAGCGCCCATATGGGATCCCGGCATGTGCAAGGCTAAGACTTTCACCACTAGGCTACTGCGCTGGGTCCAAAGCATATTATTTTGTGCCTGAAATGCTGTTGAGACTTTCTTAGATAGAAAAATGTTCAATTTCTACAGCACAGCAGGGTGACCACGGTCACAGTAACTGTTACATGAAAACGTGGAAGAGAGGAACTGGGAGAACCCAGCATGGGGAAAGCTGGGCATATGCGGGTACCTATTGCCTGAGCCAATCTGTCTGTGCCCCAAGCCCCAGGAAGGTGTGCGGGCCATGTTAGTCAGATGGCCAGCTGCAGTGGTGACGGGCATACTACTCAGAGTCTGTGTAGACCTGCTGGCCGGGTGTGAGATATGTTATTCTTCAGCAAAGCCCTGAGTGGCAAGGAAGCCCTGAAAGGGAAATGCAAGCTGTAGGTCTCATGAGCTGCAGCCGCACACGTCCTGAGAGTGAAGTCAGAGCTGAGGAGGAAGTAGAGCAGCTGGAGTCTAAGAGCGCTGAGTGCACGGGACAGTGTTGCAGCCACTGTGCCCTGTGTTTAAACATACACCTGCTCCAGTGACCCGGCCACTTCACTCCAAAGTATTTACAAGAGGAACAAAACTTAGGTTCACACGAAGTTTTATACACAAATATTTTATTCTTTCTGATTACATACCTTGCTGAAAATCGGATTATATATGTTAAGATTTCCAACCTGTAATCTTTTCTCCCTGTACCCTCTAGTTGAAGTATAAAACACAGCTCAGGCCCAACACAGTATCCTAGTGGCTAAAGTCCTCACCTTGCATGTGCCAGGATCCCATATGGGCACCAACTGGCCCAGTTCCCTTCCAGCCCCTGTTCTTGGCCTGGGAAAGCAGTGGAGGAAGGCCCAGGACCTTGTGAGACTGCATCTGTGTGGGAGACCCAGAAGAAGCTCCTGGCTTCAGATCAATTCAGCAGTGCAACAGCCAATGCTATGCCAATCCGAAGCCAGGATCCAGGAACTTCTGGGTCTCCCACACAGGTGCAGGGTCCCGAGGCTTTGGGCCGTTCTCAACTGCTTTCCCAGGCCACAAGCAGGGAGCTGGATGGGAAGTGGGGCCACCGGGATTAGAACCGGCGCCCATATGGGATCCCGGGGCGTTCAAGGCGAGGACTTTAGCTGCTAGGCCACGTCGCCGGGCCCATGAAGTGGCTGTTACTGCCTGTGTCCGTCCCTGTGCTAGTCACAGGCTGGTTTCCCTCCTCCCTCCCCCAGCAGGACTCCTGTCCCTTCTGCAGATCAGACCATCCCTGCTGATCCCTGTCCCCCTCAGGAGCAGCGTCTTGTCCCTGAAGATGCAGAGCTGCAGCACAGAGTACCGTGTCTCATGAATGTTCTGTAGTTTTAAAATAAAGAACAAAGAGTTCCAGAGAGGTGGGGGAAAAGCAGGAGAGAGATCTTGCATCCTCTGGTTTAGTCCCCAGATGGCTGCAGCTGCTGGGCTGGGCACAGGAAGCAGGCTCTTCGTCTGGCTCCTCATGCGGGTGGCAGGGTGCCAAGGACTTGGGCCATCTGCTGCTGCTTTCCTAGGCACATTGGCTGGGAGCTGGATTGGGAGCGGGGCAGGTGGGACACGAACAGGTGCCCATATGGGATTTTTATGTCCCACAATACTAACTTACATCTTTTTTATCTACCAAAAGTAAATTATTGGAATCTTCAAAGCTGCTCTCAATTCCCTGTGTTTATAACTCCTGAAGTGCCTCCAGCTGTGATAGGCAAATGAATATTTTAAAATGTTTGTTCTTTGAGTCATTATAAATAGTAAGAAGGATCCTGGCAGGTTTTGATCGAATGCCTTTAGTTGGGCATCAGCTTGTTTCTGGGCTACTTTGATAGTATAAAGAGTTCTCGTATCTTGCAATTACTTTGGTTCTATAGGAATTTTAAGAAATATTAGTTTTTCCAGTATCCTTTTTTTCTTTTCAATATTGCTAATTTGATTAACATTAAATAAATACATGTGTGTGTTCTAAACAGAATCTATTTTATATGCTGCTTTTCAACTTGCTCTAGTCGTGTTATAGTAATTCTCAGGTATAGTGCTGTATCTTTATGGCATATAAAATCCTGTTTTATTATCCTGATAATACATTATCAGTTGGATTTCATATTTTAACACAAGTTCTTTTAAGATACGTTGTATACCATCTAAATAATTAAAATGGCCATTAACTTAATGTTGTGTTTGCTTGTTTCATATAGGGTTAGCACTGAGTTAACTTTCATTTGCTATTTTAAGGAAGTTATTCTAAGCAAAATGGCTCTAGTAATTTCTCAGTTGAGGGGTGGGAGTTAGGGGGAAACATTTTTTTTTTTTTAGTATTTTTGTTGAGTAGTTTTTGAGAGACAAATTCCAACTCTAATTAGATGGTACATATTCCATTTCTTAATAGGAATCAACCCTCAAAAGTGTATTGAGTGCCTTATGGAACTTGTCGGCACACTGCACTGAGAACAAAGCTGACATCTGCTCTGTAGACGGTGCCCTTGCGTTTTTGGTTGGCACGCTCACTTACCGGAGCCAGACGAACACTTTAGCCATTATTGAAAGTGGAGGTGGGATATTACGCAATGTGTCCAGCTTGATAGCCACAAATGAGGACCACAGGTACACATAGAGCTTTGTGTTACTTTTAAATCAATTACTATAGAGTTTATACCCTCAAGAAGATTTTGTGTTGTTACAAAAGTTCCACGCCAAAAAGTGTATATTTTTATTAAGTTTTTTATTAGCTGTTAACTCCAGCTTATCTCATATACTTACACTGCAGTGAGCTCATACTAGCTCAAAACAAAAAAGTACAGCCCATACATATATAAAGAAAAACCCAAGAGCGACAAGTTAGAGCACAATCCCTTCTGTTTATTAGTATAACATAAAGGGATATGAGGACTGGATGGCAAAGCACAGGTTACAGGTGGGAGGCAGGCAGCTCACGTTTTGCTGATGCTGTCACGTGGCCACGCCGTGCTCCGGTCAGGCTGAGCAGGCCCGCAGTGCAGGCTCTGTGTGCTCTCAGCACAGGTGTCTTCCACAGCCTGCTCATTTCGAAAGTTTCTCCAGGATTGTTCCTCCAGAGAAAGCATCAGGCCCTTTTGTAAAAGGACTCTAAGAATATTAATGTCTTTCTGTAAGTTTTGAAGCACGGACCACAAGCCTCCCGGCCTCTCAGCTGAGCCAGGGAGACTGCTTGCTTGGCAGGAGGGGCCTGGCAGCTGGACTGCAGGGCGAAGAGCATGTGAGAGCCTTCTGTGCTGCGCTCGTAACCCCCGCTCCAGCGCCTGTGCTGTCCTTGAACAAACTGTGACTCTCAAGACCCAGAAATTGTTGGGATGCTTCTCAGCTCTTGGTTTTGTATTATTTAAATGTTTTGAAAGTTTTTAGTCATTGAAAGAATGACTACACATAGAATGTGACAAGGCACACCTTGTGAGGAGCATGGCAGTCCAGAAGGTGAAGCCCAAGACACTGAGATTGTTCTAGAAACATGGGCTTGTTGACCCAGGAGCTCCCAGCGTCTGCCTTGGCTGCATAAAGATCTGCCATTCCAGATCCTTCTTCCCAGATGACTCGTCAGTCAGCACTGTGGGGCCTGTACAGATTCGAGTCTTGCAGGGTTCATGTGTGGCATCAGACTGATGATCTGTTGGTAGAATGGAAATCAGAAACCCGCTGCCCTGAGGGAGGAGCGCCTGCCGCTCCCCGAAAGCTGTTAAAGTTACTGGTCAGACTTGGAGATATAGAAGGGATTTTAAAAATAACACTTCTGCTGATTTTAGTGTGACAGATATATGCTTTAAAGCAATGAACATAAAACAAACTAATAAGTAACAAAAGACATGGCGTGCTTCTACTCTAAGGAAGTCAGCAGTTACACCGTGTATGAAATGTTAGTAGTTAATGTTTTCTCTTTTAACTGTTGTTTTCTGCACACTGTTTTGTTACCTGAATTTCCATGGTCTCTTGTTTTCATTTCAGGCAAATCCTAAGAGACAACAACTGCCTACAAACCTTGTTACAACACTTGAAATCTCATAGTTTGACAATTGTCAGTAATGCATGCGGAACTTTGTGGAATCTCTCAGCAAGAAATCCCAAAGACCAAGAAGCACTCTGGGACATGGGGGCAGTTAGCATGCTCAAGAACCTCATTCACTCAAAGCACAAAATGATTGCTATGGGAAGTGCTGCAGCTTTGAGAAATCTCATGGCAAACAGACCCGCTAAGTACAAGGACGCCAGCATCATGTCCCCTGGTTCCAGCCTGCCGTCTCTCCATGTCAGGAAGCAGAAGGCCCTGGAGGCAGAGTTAGACGCTCAGCATTTATCAGAAACTTTCGACAATATTGACAACTTGAGTCCCAAGGCACCTCACCGGAGCAAGCAGAGACACAAGCAGAGCCTCTATGGGGACTATGTCTTTGACGCCAACCGACATGATGATAACAGGCCAGACAACTTTAATCCTGGAAACATGACTGTCCTTTCCCCGTATCTGAATACGGCAGTGTTGCCCAGCTCCTCTTCATCCAGGGGAAGCTTAGACAGTTCTCGTTCTGAGAAAGATAGAAGTCTGGAGCGAGAAAGAGGAATTGGCCTGAGCGGCTACCACACGGCGACAGAAGGTACAGGAAGCTCTTCAAAGCGAGGCTTGCAGATCTCCAGCCCTGCAGCCCCAGTGGCCACCGGCGTGGAGGACGTCTCAGCCATTCCCACCTCCCAGGAGGACAGAAGTTCGGGGTCTGCCACCGACCTGCATTGTGCACCAGATGAGAGGGCGGCACTGAGGAGCAGCTCGGGTGCCCGCACCCTTTCCAGCACTTACAGTTTCACTAAGTCAGAAAATTCAAACAGGACGTGTTCTGTGCCTTGTGCCAAACTAGAATGTAAGAGATCTTCAAATGACAGCTTAAACAGTGTCAGTAGCAGTGACGGCTATGGCAAAAGAGGTCAGATGAAGCCCTCCATCGAATCCTATTCTGAAGATGACGAGAGTAAATTTTGCAGTTACGGTCAATATCCAGCCGACTTAGCCCATAAAATACACAGTGCCAATCATATGGATGATAACGATGGGGAGCTTGATACACCAATAAATTACAGCCTCAAATATTCAGATGAGCAGTTGAATTCTGGAAGGCAGAGTCCTTCACAGAATGAAAGATGGGCAAGACCCAAACATATCATTGAAGAGGAGATAAAGCACGGTGAGCCGAGGCAGGCCCGGGGCCAGGGCACAGCGTACCCCGTGTATGCCGAGAGCAACGATGAGAAGCACCTCAAGTTCCAGCCACACTTCGCACAGCAGGAGTGCGTTTCCCCGTACAGGGCCAGGGGAACCGGTGGTTCGGAAGGAAATCGAGTTAATCAAAATGCAAACCAGTCCTTGTGTCAGGAAGATGATTATGAAGATGATAAACCAACCAACTATAGTGAGCGCTACTCTGAGGGAGAACAGCACGGAGAAGAAGAGAGAGCAACAAGTTACAGCATGAAGTATAACGAAGAGAAGCATCACGCGGACCAGCCTATTGACTACAGCCTAAAGTACACCGCCGACGGCCCTTCCTCCCAGAAACCACCGTTCTCATTCCCACAGAGCTCATCCGCACAAAGCACTAAAACTGAGCAACACGTCCCTGCAAGCAGCGAGAAGGCAGCTGCCCCCGCATCGAATGCCAAGAGGCAGACTCAGCTTCACCCAGGTTCAGCACAGAACAGAAGTGCCCAGGCACCAAAGACCACCACTATTAACCAGGAAACAATACAGACGTACTGTGTAGAAGATACCCCAATATGTTTCTCAAGGTGCAGTTCATTGTCTTCTTTGTCATCAGCTGAAGATGAAATAGGATGTGATCAGACAACTCAGGAGGCAGTTTCTGCTAATACTCTGCAGATAGCAGAGATGAAAGAGAACAGTGGGGCTAGAGCTGCAGAAGGTCCTGTGAGTGAAGCTCCGGCCGTGTCCCAGCATGTCAGAACCAAAGCCAGCAGACTCCAGGCCTCCGGACTGTCGTCAGAATCAGCCAGGCAGAAAGCCGGCGAGTTATCTTCAGGAGCCAAGTCTCCCTCTAAAAGTGGGGCGCAGACCCCCAAGAGCCCCCCAGAGCACTATGTTCAGGAGACTCCGCTCATGTTCAGCAGATGCACTTCTGTCAGTTCGCTGGACAGCTTCGAGAGTCGCTCCATTGCCAGCTCCGTGCAGAGCGAGCCATGCAGCGGGATGGTAAGTGGCATCATTAGCCCCAGTGACCTTCCGGATAGCCCTGGACAAACCATGCCACCAAGCAGAAGTAAGACCCCTCCACCACCTCCTCAGACAGTGCAGACCAAGCGAGAGGTACCCAAAAACAAAGCTCCAGCTGCAGAAAAGAAGGAGAGCGGAACTAAGCAAGCCGCTCTCAGTGCTGCAGCTCAGAGGGTTCAGGCTCTCCCTGATGCTGACACCTTGTTACACTTTGCAACAGAAAGTACTCCAGATGGATTTTCTTGTTCATCTAGCCTGAGTGCTCTGAGCCTCGATGAGCCATTTATACAGAAAGACGTGGAGTTGAGAATCATGCCTCCGGTTCAGGAAAATGACAATGGAAATGAAGCCGAACCCGAGCAGCCCGAAGAGTCCAGTGAAGAGCAGCAGCAGGAGGCGGAGAAGCCCGCCGATTCTGAAAAGGACCTGCTGGATGACTCGGATGAGGACGATATCGAGATACTGGAAGAATGTATCATTTCTGCCATGCCAACAAAGTCATCACGCAAAGCCAAGAAGCTAGCCCAGACGGCTTCCAAACTGCCACCACCTGTGGTAAGGAAGCCAAGTCAGCTGCCTGTGTACAAACTCCTCCCATCCCAAAACAGGCTGCAAGCCCAGAAGCATGTTAGCTTCACGCCGGGAGATGATATGCCACGGGTGTATTGTGTAGAGGGGACACCCATCAACTTTTCCACAGCCACATCCCTAAGTGATCTAACAATTGAATCACCTCCAAATGAGTTAGCTGTTGGAGACGGAGGTGGAGCAGGCGCACGGTCTACTGAACTTGAAAAACGAGACACCATTCCCACAGAAGGCAGAAGCACAGATGAGGCACAGAGAGGAAGTGCCTTGGCAGTGGATGACACTAAAGCAGAGGAAGGCGACATTCTTGCAGAATGCATTAACTCTGCTATGCCCAAAGGGAAGAGTCACAAGCCTTTCCGTGTGAAGAAGATAATGGACCAAGTCCAGCAAGCCTCTGTGTCTTCATCTGGAGCCAACAAAAACCAGCCAGACGGCAAGAAAAAGAAACCGACTTCACCAGTAAGACCTCTGCCACAGAGCGCCGAGTACAGGACGCACACGAGAAAAAACGCAGACTCAAAAAACAGTTTAAACGCTGAGAGAAATTCCTCAGACTCCAAAGATCCAAAGAAACAGAACTTGAAAAATAATTCCAAGGACTTGAATGACAAACTGCCCAATAACGAAGACCGAGTCCGAGCAGGCTTTCCTTTCGATTCACCTCATCACTACACGCCCATCGAAGGAACTCCTTACTGCTTCTCACGAAACGATTCTTTGAGTTCTCTAGATTTCGACGATGACGATGTTGACCTTTCCAGAGAGAAAGCGGAATTAAGAAAGGGAAAAGAAAATAAAGAGTCGGAAGCTAAAGTTACCAGCCACCCAGAAGTAACTGCAAAGCAGGCGTCAGGTGGCAAGACACAAGTCGTCCCCAAACAGCCAGCAGGACGAGAGCAGCAGAAGCCGTCCGCTTTTCCCCAGCCGTCCAAAGACGTGCCTGACAGAGGGGCGGCCGCGGATGAGAAGTTACAGAGCTTTGCTATTGAAAATACTCCTGTTTGCTTTTCTCGGAATTCCTCTCTGAGTTCTCTCAGTGACATTGACCAAGAAAACAACAACAAGGAGAATGAACCTGTCAAAGAGAGTGAGCCCCCCGACTCACAGGGAGAACCAAGTAAGCCCCAGGCATCAGGGTACGCCCCTAAGTCCTTCCATGTGGAAGACACGCCTGTCTGCTTCTCGAGAAACAGCTCTCTCAGTTCGCTTAGCATTGATTCGGAGGACGACCTGCTGCAGGAATGCATCACTTCTGCAATGCCGAAGAAGAAAAAGCCCTCCAGACCGCAGGCCGGTCACGACAAGCAGAGCCCCAGGAACACCGACGGCGTCCTGGCTGAGGGTCTGACACTGGACCTGAAAGATATACAGAGACCAGACTCCGAGCACGGCTTATCCCCGGATTCAGAAAACTTTGACTGGAAAGCTATTCAGGAAGGTGCGAATTCCATCGTGAGCAGTTTGCATCAAGCTGCCGCTGCCGCGTGTCTGTCCAGGCAGGCTTCGTCCGACTCGGATTCCATCCTCTCATTGAAGTCTGGAATCTCGCTGGGATCCCCATTTCACCTTACACCTGATCAAGAGGAAAAGCCTTTCACAAGTAACAAAGGCCCACGGATTCTCAAACCCGGTGAGAAGAGCACGTTGGAAACGAAGAAGATTGAATCTGAAAGGAAAGGAATCAAAGGAGGAAAAAAAGTTTACAAGAGTTTGATCACTGGAAAAGTCCGCTCTAACGCAGAAGTTGCCAGCCAAATGAAGCAGCCCCTGCCCGCAAGCATGCCTTCAATCTCCCGAGGTCGGACGATGATTCACATTCCGGGAGTCCGAACTAGCTCCTCGAGCACAAGTCCTGTTTCTAAGAAAGGCCCGCCCCTCAAGACAGCGGCCTCCAAGAGCCCCAGTGAGGGCCCTGCGGCCACCGCCACCACGTCTCCCAGGGGCACCAAGCCGTCAGGGAAGTCAGAATTAAGCCCTGCCCCCAGGCCGCCGACATCCCAAACAGGTGGATCAAACAAAGGATCTTCTAGGTCAGGATCTAGAGAGCCCACTCCTTCCAGACCTGCCCAGCAGCCACTGAGCAGGCCCGTGCAGTGTCCAGGGAGAAACTCCATTTCCCCTGGCCGAAACGGAGTCAGTCCTCCTAGCAAACTGTCTCAGCTGCCACGGACGTCATCCCCCAGTACTGCTTCAACCAAGTCCTCGGGCTCCGGGAAGATGCCCTACGCATCCCCAGGCAGGCAGATGAGCCAGCAGAACCTAACAAAGCAAACGGGCCTCCCCAAGAATGGCAGTTGTATCCCAAGAAGTGAGTCTGCCTCTAAAGGACTGAATCAGCTGAGCAATGGCAACGGATCTAGTAAGAAAGTAGAACTTTCCAGAATGCCTTCAACTAAATCCAGTGGAAGTGAATCTGATAGATCAGAGAGACCTGTGTTAGTACGCCAGTCTACTTTCATCAAGGAAGCTCCAAGCCCAACCCTAAGAAGAAAACTGGAGGAGTCGGCCTCATTTGAATCTCTTTCTCCATCTTCCAGACCAGATTCTCCCACGAGGTCCCAGGCCCAAACCCCAGTGTTAAGTCCTTCCCTTCCCGACATGTCTCTGTCCACACACTCGTCCGGTCAGGCTGGTGTGTGGCGGAAACTCGCGCCTCATCTCAGCCCCACCCTGGAGTACAATGACGGCAGAGCAGCAAAGCGCCATGACATAGCGCGCTCCCACTCAGAAAGTCCTTCCAGACTGCCCGTCAACAGGTCCGGGACCTGGAAACGGGAGCACAGCAAGCACTCGTCCTCCCTTCCCCGGGTGAGCACGTGGAGAAGAACCGGGAGCTCCTCTTCGATTCTCTCTGCTTCATCAGAATCCAGTGAGAAAGCAAAAAGTGAGGATGAAAAGCACGTAACCTCTACGTCAGGAACCAAGCAAAATAAAGAAAACCAAATATCCACAAAGGGGACGTGGAGAAAAATAAAAGAAAATGAAATTTCTCCCACAAATAGTACTTTGCAGAATACTTCCTCAGGTGCTGCAAACGGTGCTGAATCCAAGAGTCTGATTTATCAAATGGCACCTGCGGTTTCTAAAACAGAGGACGTTTGGGTGAGGATTGAGGACTGCCCCATCAACAACCCCAGGTCTGGAAGATCCCCTACGGCTAACACTCCCCCTGTGATCGACAGCGTCTCCGATTCAAAAGACAATCAGGGAAAACAAACCGCAGGCAGCGGAGGTGCTCCCACACATACCATGGGTTTGGAAAACCGTCTAAACTCCTTTATTCAGGTTGACGCCCCTGACCAAAAAGGAGCTGAGATAAAACCAGGACAGAGTAACGCCATCGCCGCGTCGGAGACCAACGAGGGTTCCTTGGCAGAGCGTACCCCGTTCAGTTCCAGCAGCTCCAGCAAACACAGCTCACCCAGTGGGACTGTGGCTGCCAGGGTGACCCCCTTTAACTACAACCCCAGTCCTCGGAAGAGCAGTGCAGACGGCTCCTCAGCCCGGCCCTCCCAGATCCCCACTCCCGTGAATAACAACACAAAGAAACGAGATTCAAAAACCGACAGCACAGAATCCGGTGGAACGCAAAGTCCCAAACGGCACTCTGGGTCTTACCTTGTGACGTCCGTGTAAGAGCCGGGGCGTGAAACTGAGGCATTTACATGTTAATTTGACTTGCTAGATAGAAGTTTTGTTTTCAAGTGAAACTAAAAATCTGAACATTTTTGTAAATAGGTTTAATTCTTGTTGGAGGGTTTTTGTTCCGGAAGCCATATTTGATAGTATACTTTGTCTTCACTGGTCGTATTTTGGGAGGCACTCTTGATAGTTAAGAAAGCCAAGTATATTTGTACAGTATGTTTTACAAGGATTTAAGCAGAATCCCATCCCATCATCCTTTAATTATTGCTTGTCTTAAAATAATGAACACTACATAGAAAATATGATATATTGCTGTTATCAGTCATTTCTAGATTATAAACTGACTAAACTTACATCAGGGAGAAATTGGTATTTATGCAAAAAAATATGTTTAGTGCTGTGAGTCCATCTAATGTCATAACTAATCATGTGGCTGTGAAATTCACAGTAATATGGTTCCTGGTGAACAAGTTTACCCAGCCTGCTTTGCTTCACTGCATGAGTGAAACCGATGGTTCATTTTCAGAAGTGATGAGTGGCGGTTCCGTGGTCACATGACGTCGTAGGTAGCTTCAGTGTTCCAATGCACACAACAGAAGTCTGTGTAACTGTAAAACATTGAATGCAACTATTTTACCTGAACTAGATTTTATCTGAAAGTAGGTAGAATTTTTGCTATGCTTTATCTTGTTGTATATTCTGGTATTTGAGGTGAGATGGCTGCTCTTTTATTAATGAGACATGAATTGTGTCTCAACAGAAACTAAAAGGACGTTTCAGAATAAATTATTGCTGTATGTAAACTATGACTGAAACTGGTATTTGTTTAAAAGGTCTTATTTCACATTTGTATTAACTGTCAAAAAGGCCTCTTTAAAAAGCTTATACAAAATATACAAAATTATGTTTCTTCTGATTCTATGCATTAAGAGTAAAATTCCTCTTACTGTAATAATAATTAAAAAAATTGCAGAAGACAGTTGGTACTTAACCATTCCTGGAAGGTAACTTCTTACTGTGACTAGCACTTCCGCATACGGAGTTTTTCCCCTTTCTGCTGCTTTATCTGACTCCACAGATGTCATGCTGACAGATCCAGGCGCTAGCCCCGGGCCCAGCATTGACCATCACAGACCCACAGGCACAGGTGGTCTCCTCCAGTGTGAACACCTCTTCCTCGTCCCCTTTTGTCACTGTGCCTGCAGTGAACAGCTCTTACGCAGAGAGCGTGCGGCCAGGGGCAGCCAGGCTGCACACGCTCAGCTCAGAGGAGCCGAGGGGACCCTGTGATAGTGGCAGTGTGTGGCTGAGAGTTCTCCTTTGAGGAGAAAGCACAAACTGACACAGATCAGGACCCTTACTGTATCATCCCCAAGTCTGCGCTCAGCTGTCGAAAGGCTCACTGGTGGTAATGCTCACATTTGTTGAAAAATCTGGAAAACCTGTTTGTCATGAATAAAATGCTGCACTCTGCCTTCAGGGAGGGAAAGAGAACGCTGAGTGGGAGTGGAGCTGCAGGACGGAGGGTGAGGAGAGCAGCCAGTGCCACGGCGGCTGCACCCCGAGTTCACAGCCGCCAGAAAGCGGATGACTTTGATCCGGAGTGCCGGTCAGTAAGTGAAGCGCTGCGACTCTGAAACCCACTCTCCTTTGCGAACACCCCTGCTTAACTTTGGACGCTGTCTACATGTAAAGTGCAGGATTTTATAAGCCCTAGCATTGTTATGGAAAGAGATGGAACCTTAAAATTAAATTAGCTTTTTTTATTTTTTTTTTATTTTTTTTTTTTAAGATTTATTTTTATTATTTTTTATTGGAAAGGCGGATATACAGAGAGGAGAGACAGAGAGGAAGATCCTCCGTCCGATGATTCACTCCCCAAGTGAGCGCAACGGGCCGATACTATGCCGATCCGAAGCCAGGAGCCTCTTCCGGGTCTCCCACGCGGGTGCAGGGTCCCAAAGCCTTGGGCTGTCCTCGACTGCCTTCCCGGGCCACAGGCAGGGAGCTGGAAGGGAAGAGGGGCTGCCGGGATTAGAACCGGCGCCCATATGGGATCCCGGGCGTGCAAGGCGAGGACTTAACCACTTGCGCCACCGCGCCGGGCCCTAAATTAGCTTTTAATTTAAGTAAAGGGATGGGGTCTGGAGCCTCGTCATTGCTGGAGGTGAGACTTCCTTCTCTGCCTGAAAAGTGAGTTCTTGCAGGCGGCACCATCGGGGGACCCTTGGGCTGGAGAAGTGCCCGTCAGAACAGCCCACTGGGACAGTCCTGCCTGTGGAAGTTCCTGGTACCTCTGGGGCTGGGGGCAGGACCAGGGGTCCCAGCTGAGGCTTGCTCTTATGAAGGGTGTATACCTAGTGTTAAGACTGCTTAGGGTGCAGGGGCCAATGCCCTAACTCGTTCTGGGCTGCAGCAAACAAATCCTAAGTCAGTGGCTTCCAAATTAGTGCATGTGAGTCCCAAAAATGCTTATCAAGACCCAAATGAGCCCTGCCCCCCAATATCTGACCCAGGGTTTGAGGAGGAACCCACAGATCTGCCTTTCCAACAAGTGCTGCTGGTTAGGGACTGCCATACAGCCCCATCCCTGGGCCGTCACACAGGCACCTCTCCCGTGCAGATCAGCCAAGACCCCATACTCTGACAAAGTTCACCAACAAGAAAATCCCTCCCCATTCTAGGCAAAACACTCGACCACTGAGCCTTCTGCCCCTGACAGGGTCTGTCAGCTCCCAAGAGCAGGCACGCCTGGCAGACACGACGGACGGGATCATCCTTTGGGACAGGGTGTCATGGAGGCTATCCACAACCTTTGGCAAACATGCAGTGTGGGTGTGCAGACCAGAAGAAACGGGGAGCTTTGCAATGAGGAAAGAATGGTTTCAGGTGAAGGAAGGTGTACAGTTGGCTGCCAGTTAACCAGAGTGATGCTTGAGAGTAAACTGTCAATGACCGGGGCACTGAAAGGGAAGAAGTGAAACACTAAGAATTAAGCCCCAAGAGGGCAAGATGACGCTGTACACTCAGAACGTCTTGGTTATGTAAAATACGGATCCTGCTACTCCGGGCTAATTCAGAACAAAGGGAAGGAGGGGGAGGGTGGTGAATGCCATTGCCCTGTACTGACTGATGTATTCTTTGTGATGTTGAACCCCTGGACTGTGGCTGCTGTAACCCCGGTCTTCTGCCAGTCTCACAACTGTGTTCTGAGACCCTCTGCTTCTGTTAGATCGTCATGCTTCTTTCAACCTGTATGTTTTATATGTATAATACTGTTCTTGGTGCTAAATACACTTTTCTTTTCTCTGATACCAGGATAGTTCTTTCTCTACATTTGTGACTACTCACTTGTTTTTGTGACCTTACATGACTATTATTTTCCTATCTAAAGACAATCAGCATAATTTATACTAGTGAAGGTGGTGGCCACTGAACATAATACAGATGAGTGGGGAGAAAAATGCAGGTGTGGCCTGCCCTGTTTGCCCTAGTGCCCGCTGGTGTCCACGCATGGAGCCACGCTGCCCGCTGGTGTCCACGCATGCACCCACCCTTCCTTTCCCCTGACCAGCACAGGCAGTGAGGACCTGACTACAAGAGACTCGTCATTGGCTGGTCAGTGGCTGGACACTTACATGGCCTGGTTTAGATTAGAAAACCACCAAAGTAATCCAGGGAGCTTTCTGGCTGGGACGGAGAGCAGTGCAGGCTAGGGCTGTGGTGCCTGGTTGGCGTCATGAACCTGAAACAAAAAGCAGAACAAAGCCTGCTATGGAGGAGGGGACCGAGGCCACTCGGAAGCCATCTCTGGCAGGCCCTGCCTTGGCTGAGGTCTAATTCTACTCTGCTTCATTTGGAAACTAAGCCTGTGTTGCTACTAACATAAAAACAGTTAGGAGCACCTTGGTGACTCTTTACATTTTATTTATAATTCGACAGAGCTCACGTGGCACTAGTTCACTCCCCAGGTGCTGGTAACAGTCCACGCTGGACCAGACTGAAGCTGGGCTCCTGCCACCCATGTGGGAGACCGGGAGGGACATCCTGGGTGCTGGCCCCTGCCCCACAGGAAACTGCTGTGTGCTGTGGCCTTTTGGGGGTGAACCAGCAGATGGGAGATACCTCTTTCCCTCTCTTCTGGCACTCTGCCTTTCAAATCCTTTTTTTAAACTACCTTCTCTAAATGACATTGGCTTAAACAGTACAAGAGTGAAGTGGGCACTTGGCATAGCAGGTCCCCGTCCAAGTGCCTGGGTTCGAATCCCTACTCCATTCCTGGCTCCAGCATCCTGCTGGTGCACACCTGGGAGGCAGTAGTGATGATGCAAGTGGCTGGGGCCCTTCTGCCGCGGTGGGAGACCTGCACTGAACTGACACAGACAGCTCACTGGATCTGTGTAAGAGCCAGACATGGGGCCTGGGGACTACCAAGGAAGCACGTCCCATTCCCCATGTCACCCAGCTGCTACCCTGAAGGCGGGGCCCTCGGACAGCACCCCATAGAGTGGCAGTGCACATGGCACTTGGCTCCTGGTGGGGTGGGCGTAGTAGGAACAGGATAGGTTGCATGCTGTGGAACCTGAGCAAGTTCATTCATTCTTTTACTTGTAGTCTCTCCATTGAAGAAACTGCTTTCATGGAATTTGAATTCCCCACTGCGAACCCCAATCCAAAATTGACACTCCTTCACTTGGGATTTCCAATGAAACTGTTTAACCAAAATGGATTTTACTTAGTGTCTGGACAGACTAAGAATCCAGCAGGGGCTGTATGTGCACAGAGAGGTGACCAACAGCTTGTGTGCTCTCAGCTTTCCCTAGAAGCAGAAGCTTTGCTACAAGCCAGCTGGGTCTGCCCAGCCTTCAGTCAGCTGAGGGGAACCCTGGCTGGTCTGTGGAAGGGGACTCCTGATAAGTTTCCAGAAACCAAACCATCTGCACACTGCCCTGCGATGGCAGACGGGTGCCTCGCCCCGGATCCCAGGGCAGGAAGTAATGAGCTTCCATATTATTTAAATCCACTGTTAAGACATTACGGTTTAAACATCTGTACGATTTAGCCAAATCCCGCCTGTCCTTAAGACATGCCCATAGTGTGGTGGAGTGCGAGAGAGATCACACCGGGCCCAAGTGTAGGATGTTAGGAGGAGTCTTTTTTTCTCCAGCTTGGTGACAGCAACTCATTCTCCGACCCTGATCCGGCTGCGCCTTCTTCCCGCGGGCCAAGGGCTGCAAAGGCAGCCGGCGTGTGCCCAGGGCCGCTTACGGAGAGCATTCCTTGCCAAATCGAGAGCAAGCCAGCTGTGGGGTCCAGGACTGGGTTAAAAACTAACCATGCAGGGACTCTCTTAAACACGTAGTGCCACCCTCAGGATTCTGTCCGTGGACACCCCTGAGGCCGCGCGTGGACGGCCATAGGAAGCCAACCCGGGCTTCACCAAGGCGCATGCGCCTACCGTGCCCCGACCGGCAGGGCCGGACCCGGAAGCCGCGCCCGCCCCTTCCGCCATCCGCTCGCGAGAGTGCACGTCGACACGTCACGTCTAGCCGAGCGCCGCCGGCCGCACAGGGGCGTGGCCACGGACCGGGGCCGAGTCTTCCGGCGGAAGTTCGGGCGCGGTGGGTCGCGGTGGGTGCGAGAGCGTGGACATGGCCTGCGCCGCCGCGCGGTCCCCGGCCGACCAGGACAGGTGGGCGCCGGGAGGGAGCGAGCGGCCGGGCCGGGACGGGGGGACCGGGAAGGGGACCGACTAGCGGGGCCGGGCCGGGACGGGGGGACCGACGAGCGGGGCCGGGCCGGGGGTCAGGAACGGGATGGGGACGGGCGCTGAGCGGACGGCGGGTGTCCCGGCCGCAGGTTCATCTGCATCTACCCGGCCTACCTGAACAACAAGAAGACCATCGCCGAGGGCCGGCGCATCCCCCTCAGTAAGGTGAGCGGGGTCTGCCGGGGAGGGGCGGTGACGTCAGCGTGTCAGGTGCGGCGGCCGTGTCTACACCTGTGGAGGGGTGTCCTGCGGTGTGGACATGGTCAGCTTTAGTGGATGGAGTGTTGCGTATTGTAGAGTGGTTAAGCCACTCAGTGCTGCTGGGCACCCACTTTGCTCAGGTACCATCTGGATGCGGAGAGCTACAGGTGGCTGGAGCAGGGTCGGTGAAAATGGAGGCAGACACGCAGCGGGGCATGCACGAGTGTCCTCCCTGGGGACTGGGTCTGCTGCCCCATGCAGGAGGGCGTGCGGCGATGCCTCCTGCGGCCGTCCGGCTGGTTCAGTGTCTGCTTCTCCCTGCAGGCTGTTGAGAACCCCACGGCCACCGAGATCCAGGATGTGTGCACAGCAGTCGGGCTGAACGTGTTTCTTGAGGTATGGCGTCAGTCTGTGCTAGTCTCCATACTTGCTCCTGGATATAACGACTTCCTAAAAGTCTGTGTTCATTTTATCTCTTAGAAAAATAAAATGTATTCTCGAGAGTGGAACCGTGACGTCCAGTACCGCGGCCGAGTGCGGGTGCAGCTCAAGCAGGAGGACGGCAGCCTCTGCCTGGGGCAGTTCCCCTCACGTAAGCTCCCTTTGGCCACTGTGCGCGCAGACCCCCTGCCAGCGTCCCGCGGTGGCTCGCTCAGGCCCCCTCGGTGCCAGCGTCCTGTGGTGGCTCGCGCAGGCCCCCTCGGTGCCAGCGTCCTGTGGTGGCTCGCGCAGGCCCCCTCGGTGCCAGCGTCCCGTGGTGGCTCGCGCAGGCCCCCTCGGTGCCAGCATCCCGTGGTGGCTCGCTCAGGCCACCTGCAGTGCCAGCGTCCCACGGAGGAAGGCCTGAGAAGCTCCTGGCTCTAGCTTGGCCCGGCCTGGCTACGGCCGTTAAAACCAGTCAGGAGTGCATCAGCTGAACGTCTCTCCTTACTTTGCCTTTCGAGAGTGACAGGGTTTCAGAAGTCATTGATTCTGTCATTGGGGAAAAAACCACAGATCCTGACATGGTGAGATTTAGGTAAATGCCTCAGGAGATGCCTGTTACCTACTGCAAGACCACCAGCAGGGCTGGGGTCAGAAGGTGGTGGCACCTCTGATACGTTCTTTGTTGACGTTTAAACGATGCTTGCCCTCTCAAGGCAGAGCTCTCCCATCCTCTGGTTGAGCCCCTGCATGGCCGGGGCTGCTCCAGACGGAAGCCACCCGGGTCTGGCGCGTGAGAGGCAGGGCCACGCGCTGGAGCTGTCCTCTGCCGCCTTCTGTGATGGCAGACTACGCGAGCCCCGAGGGGATGCTGACATCACAGCTGGCCCCTCAAAACCAGTGCAATGAAATACTACCATTTGGTTTGGGAAATGACAATTTTGTTTGCATATTATGTTTCTGAAGTTTCTAAATAATTTTAAGAAATTAAGCTATTGTCTCTTTGGTTCCACAGATCCAGTTTAAGCCCTTCCATTTGATTTGAGTAAAGTGAAATAAATTCTCAGACTGACAGCTTAGTTGTTCTTAGTCAACTTAAAAAGAAATTTTTTTGAAGATTTATTGATTTGAAAGGTGGTGTGATGGAGAGACAGACATTGGCTGGTGATGTCCAAGGGGCCGCAGCAGCTCGGGCTGGCACTGGGCCAGCAGGTCGGAACTCCATCGGGGTCTCCCATGGGTGCAAGGCCCAGGCACGTGAGCCGTCTTCCACTGCTTCCCTAGGCATGCTGGCAGAGAACTGGATTGGAAATGGAGCAGCTGGACAGGCGGTGGTTTAACCAAGGACGGTGCACAGCAGTGGCCCCAGCATGGTGTTTGTATACTAAAACCTGTCAGGATAGGTAGCTATAGCTAGATGCTAAGAGTCACGATATGTTAATGTGTTTTCCTCTTTTAGACTTTTTACTCTCTTTCCTATGACCACAAACTCTTTTCATTCTAACAGTAAATGAAATGGAGATAAAAACTATGAAAAGATATGGACCCGGCGTAATAGCCTAGTGGTTAAATTCCTCGCGTCCCATATGGGCGCCAGTTCTAATCCCGGTAGCCCTGCTTCCTGCTTATGGCCTGGGAAAGCAGTCAGGGACGGCCCAAAGCCTTGGGAACCTGCACCCACGTGGGAGACCCTGAAGAAGCTCCTGGTTCCTGGCTTTGGATTGGCTCAGCTCCAGCCGTTGCAGCCGTTGCAGCCGTTTGAAGAGTGAGTCTTCAAACAAAAGATCTTCCTCTGTATCTGACTTTCCAATAAAAATAAATAAATCTTAAGCATATATATATATGGCTTCCCAACAGCAAGAAACGGATTGCTACAAAAAGCCTGAGGGCCTTGACCTGGGGAGCGGGTGGGTGGGCAGGGGCCTGTGTGGTCCCCTGGGGAACAGGTGCATGGGCAGGGGCCTATGTGGTCCCCTGGGGATCGTGTGCGTGGGCAAGGGTGTGTGTGGTCCCCTGGGGAGCAGGTGCGTGGGCAGGGGCGTGTGTGTGGTCCCCTGGGGAACAGGTGCATGGGCAGGGGCCTGTGGTCCCCTGGGGATCGTGGGCAGGGGCGTGTGTGGTCCCCTGGGGAGCAGGTGCATGGGCAGGGGCCTGTGGTCCCCTGGGGATCATGTGCGTGGGCAGGGGCGTGTGTGTGGTCCCCTGGGGAGTGGATGGGTGGGCAGGGGCCTGTGGTCCCCTGGGGATCGTGGGCAGGGGCGTGTGTGGTCCCCTGGGGAACAGGTGCATGGGCAGGGGCCTGTGGTCCCCTGGGGATCGTGGGCAGGGGCGTGTGTGGTCCCCTGGGGAGCAGGTGCATGGGCAGGGGCCTGTGGTCCCCTGGGGATCATGTGCGTGGGCAGGGGCGTGTGTGGTCCCCTGGGGAGCAGGTGCATGGGCAGGGGCCTGTGGTCCCCTGGGGATCATGTGCGTGGGCAGGGGCGTGTGTGGTCCCCTGGGGAGCAGGTGCGTGGGCAGGGGCCTGTGTGGTCCGCTGGGGAGCGGGTGGGTGGGCAGGGGCCTGTGTGGTCCCCTGGGGAGCAGGTGCGTGGGCAGGGGCCTATGTGGTCCGCTGGGGAGCAGGTGCGTGGGCAGGGGCGTGTGTGTGGTCCCCTGGGGAGCAGGTGCGTGGGCAGGGGCCTGTGGTCCCTGGGGAGTGAGTGCGTGGGCAGGGGCCTGTGGTCCTCTGAGCCTGTGCTGCCTTGCTTGGCTCAGGGACATTTGGTTTGGGTTAGCAGGCAAATGCTGTGCCGTGTACCCTTAGGTGTGCTATTGTGACTCTAACCATTTTATTATATTTAATTATATTTTCATTTGATGTTCAAGTCAGTTACTAGAACCAAATCCAGAATTTTTGTCTTGGCACATTTATGGTTTTTTTACTTTGTTAATTAGAGTATTTTGAGGTTGGGCGTCTGGTATGTTGGTTCCGTGTTATGGAGGCGGCATCCGAGTCCCAGCTGCACTTCCGGCTCCAGCTTCCCGGAAGGCGGCGTGGTGCAGTCCCTTGAGCTTTTCCTTCACGTGGGACAGGCGCAGTCCCAGGCTCCTGGGAGTAACCAACACATTAAAGACCTCTCTGCTGTGTTTCTTTCTCCCTTTCCATAAAAAGTGAAAATAAAGAACTAAGTGTAATTCTTGGTATTGTTCCCACTCTCAGTACATTTCTCTAGTGGAGGCCTGCACTTGAACAACTCCTCACAGTTATCTGATTTCTTTTTAAGAAATTGCTCCTGTTGTGCCGATTTCTCGAGTTGATGATGTTCAAATGAATGATCTTTTGTATCTTATTTCTCAGAATGTAGACTCTCTGATTCTCGGTTCCTAGGTAAGTCGGTAATGCTGTATGCAGCAGAGATGATACCCAAACTGAAAACAAGGACGCAGAAGGCGGGAGGTGGTGACCCCAGTGTCCAACAAGGAGATGGAGGCAAAAAAGGCAGAGGAAAGAAGAAGAAGTGACGGGGCTGAGGCTCGAGGGCCGTGGGCGGACGCCACTGCTGCGTCACTTCCAGACCTGGGCGTCCCTGCTGCATCCTCATCCTCACACGAGTGCAGTGGACGCTCGCCACGTGTCTGTGTCTAGTCTATGCAGGAGGCAAGAATTTGTCCCTCAAGGAAGATTTTTTGTGGAAAAAGGAGTATTTTTAAATGGACAATGGACTGCACCGTAAGTTACTTGAAACCCTTTGTTCCTCTGTCCTCTATACAGGCACACGTTTCAGGCAGGTTTAGAAAGATCTGAAAGACACATTTTGCTCATCTCTTAAGTTAATAAAAGCATCAAGTGACTTTGGTAGTCTTTGTCTGTGACTTAGTCGGTGGCCGAGCAGGTGACTGGGGAGAAGGACGCAGGACCCCAGCAGGAGAGAAGGGGCCGGCGTGTGGGTGAACAGCCAGGCTCAGGATTGTACACTCCGGTCTGTTCATGCATAACAGTGTTCACGTGTCACTTTGCCGAAGTCAGTGATGGAGACTTCCCTCTTGCTCACTCGCCAGAAGCCCACAACAGTCGGGGCTGGTGAGCAGCAAGGACCCGGGTGCTTGGGCCCTTGTCCACTTCCTTGGCACATCAGCAGGAACTGGACTGAAGCGCATGTCGAGTCAGGCCAGCACACACACGGGGCGCCTCCTGGTGCTGTACCACAGTCTTAGCCCGGAAGTTCTTGGTTTTAAGCTGCAAGCTTGATTTTTTTTTTTTTTTCCTTGGAAAGACAGTTACTTATTTGAAGAAGGGAAAGACAGAACTGCAGGTTCACTCCCCAGATGACCACAATGGCCGGAGCTAAACCAAGCTCAAGCCAAGATCTTCTGGTTCTGCGAGAGGGTCCCAGGGTCCCAGGGACTTGGATCATGTGCCCCTGCTCTTCCCACACTGTTAGGGAGCGGGATTGGAAGCTCACCAGCTGGCTCCCAAATGGGCTGGCAGCTTCATGCGCTGCCCCAAATGTGCTGATTTTATAGGCTCGAGAGCATAGTCTCCAAGGACCAGTGCTGTGACAGTGTGTGCAAGGCTGCAGTCTGTGATGCTGCATCCCGTCTGGGCATCCATCACATCTCAGCTGCCTGCTGACGGCCTGAAAGCAGAAAAGAAACAACGTCCTTGGGCCACTGCCACATGTGGGAGACCCAGAACAAGTCCTGGACCAGCTGGTGGGAATTCTCCCTGTGTCCCATTGTTTGTGACTTTTGCTTCTTTCAAATGTGTATGTAATTTCCATTGAAATTCTAAAATCATGTCTTTAAACAAGCTGAGGCAGGCAGGTGCAGCAGCGGAAGCTGCCTCCTGAGACACCGACATCCAAGCCTCCTGCTGCTGCTCCCAGGCCCCCTAGAAGCTGGTGTGCACCCTGGGGGTAGTTGGGTCCCTGCCACCCATGTAGGAAACCCTGGGTTAAGCTCCTGATTCCTGACCTAACTCTAGCCTAGCTACCGCAGGCATCTGGAGAGTGAACCAACTGGCGGGAGTGGTCTCTTTCAGATAAAGTTGGTGGGGGGGTGGAAAAGGAGAAACCTGGTTGGGTAGATTCTCAGTTTCGGAGCACTGTCTCAAAGTGAGGATTTTGGTGTCTCCCAGTTCTTGTTCTTGCAGAGCCCTGGGCTAAGCCATAAGTTATAAGCTGCCTTAAATGTTTCCAGTCGATGCTGGCTCATTGCCCAGACCTGGCGCAGCTGAAGCTGGACTGGGTTGCAGCAAGCCTTCCGCCTGGGTCTCCCACATCACCTAGGCTGGGTCTCCCACATCACCTAGGCGCACAGGAGCAGAAGCTGCATTCAGGGCAGAGCTGAGATGTGGGCATTGTGATGGCTAAGCAGAAGGGCCTGCCTCCATGACTGTCCAGTCAAGCTAACGGAACAGCTGACCTAGCACACAGCATTTACATGCATCCAAGGAAGGGAAAAAGCCAGGCCTGCTACTTCCGTACCTCCCGCTTACCCTCTTTTTTTTTTTAAAGCTCCCTTAGTGAATTGAAGTCTCTTTTAATTCCTTAAATTAAAGGCAGATCTTCCATCTGCTGGTTTGCTTTGCTCGTGGCTGCATGAGCCAAAGCTGGGACAGATAAGCCAGAGTCCAGAACACCGGCCAGGCCTCCTGTGTGGGGGACTGGGACTGAAGTGCCTGGGCATTGTCTGTCATCTGCTGTGCACGTTACCCAGAAGCTGGGCTTGGTGGAGCAAGGACTTGAACCCAGGCCCTGGGGGTGTGGGTATCCCAAGCCACACTAACCAGGAACCCAGCACCTGCCCCTCCAGGGGCGTTGTTGAAAGCTGTGGTTCCTGCCTGTAGCTGCTAGCGAGGCTTGGAAGGTACGGCTTTCACAGCACCGACTGCGTAGTGGAGCAGCCAAGTATTTGCCATAGAAAGATGTCTAAAATTGTTAGGGGACAACAACAGTGGTCAGGAGGTTTAAGAGCTATAATTATAAAAATCTGTTGCTGTGACCTATATAATATTTTTTACCAGTTAAGTGAAAAATACAATTTTTAGAGTTTATTTTTGTTGGAAAGGCAGATTTACAGAGAGAAGGAGCTGAATGAGAGAAGGAAAGAAGGATGGGAGATCTCCCATCCGCTGGTTTGTTCCCCAAATGGCTGCAACGACAAGAGCTGAGCCGATCCAAAGCCAGGAGCCTTTTCCGGGTCTCCCACATGGGTGCAAAGGCCCAAGGACTTGGGTCATCCTCCACTGCTTTCCCAGGCCCAAAGCAGGGGACTGAAAGGGAGACGGAAGAGCCGGAACAGGAACCGGCATCCATGGGGGATCCCAGCGCTTGCAAGAGGAGAATTAGCCAATTGACAGACAATGCCCAGGCACCCACGCAGCCAATGCATCTAGCCAATGCAAGGCCAGAAACAATCTTGTAATGAGCAAAGCTGAAGTGTTACTCATATTCATTTCCCTTTTTTAAAGATTCATCTTTTTATCGGAAAGGCAGATTTACAGAAAGATCTAAGCGCTGGTTCACTGCTCAAGTGGCTGCAATGGCTGGAGCTGAGCCAATCCAAAGCCAGGAGCCAGGAGCCTCTTCCAGGTCTTTCACGTGAGTGCATGGTCCCAAGGCTTTGGGCCATCTTCAATTATTTTTCTAGGCCACCAGCAGGGAGCTGGATGGGAAGTGGGGCCACTGGAACATGAACCAGTGCCCATGTGGGATCCTGGCACTTGCAAGTGGAGTATTAACCAATTGAGCCATAGTGCCAGGCCCTGCAGTTACCTTCTGATACTGGGCATGACTGAATGTTGAAAACCCAGGTGTCCTAGGCAGACTAACAGCCTCCCTGCCCCCATCTGTCCACACCCTCATACCCCAAACCTGTGATTGCATTACATAAGGCAGCAGATGGGCCCTGCAGCCCAGCCAGGTGTTCTGGAAAATCCAGGTGGGCCCAACATGACTGTCAGGGCCCTTCTAACTGGGAGGCTGAGCTGGCAGGAGCTGTGCCGGCAGCAGTGTCAATGGCTGCGCACTACAGGGGTGCAGGTAGTGTCGGCTGGAGAAGGCCAGAGGTCGTCTCTTATTGCCAGGAGTGTGGCCATCTGACCACTACTGTGAGATGGTGAGTCCCTGGAACTCCAGCGAACCTCGGGTTCCTGGTCTCGTTAGCGTGCCAGGTGCTTCCCTACCCCTGGGAAAGTTGTGTTCCCATTTTGTTTTTTACCTTTTATGTGAAAGAGAAAAACCGCCTGTCTCCTGGTTCAGTCCAGCTCACAACAGTAAGGGCTTAGCCCGGGTGAAGCTGAAAGCTGGGAGCTCACAGGGACCCTCTACTGGAGCCATCAACCAACACAGCAAGCTGGATCGGAGTGAAGCTGGGACTCCAACCCAGGCACCTCAGCACAAGGTACAAGTGCCAGAAGTGACACTTAACCACTGTGCCTGTCCCTGGCTTTTGTTTCATTTTGTCTAATTGAGAGCAAGCTTGCATCTACTGGTTCACTCCCCAAAGGCCCACGCGGCCGGGTGCAGCCAAGGGTGGAGTCGGGAAGCCAGTTACTGGAGCCCCCGCAGGCCACCGCCTCCTCTCAGCACCCACATCGGCAGGAAGCTGGGACTGGGAGAGCAGGTTGTGCCTTTCATTCGGGCACTCCAGCATGAGACTGTCCTTGTCTAGACCAGATGCCTGCCTCCGAGTGTCAGAGCATGGTGCCTATGGCACCTGGGGACTGCCGCAGGCCAAATTAGTGCACGTCCACCCACAGAGGCCATCTCCGCGTCAGTGGGCAGGACCTCTGATCATCTGATGTGCAGGCTCCTCTGAATGACCAGTGGTGCTGGCCTGACCCACTGGTTTTACTTCTCCATGCAGCTCTTGCAGCATTAGCTCCCCAGCTGCCAGCCCCTCCCAGAACACTCAGCAGCAGCTGTGGGGCCAGGGGAGTGACCGCTGGCTTACCCCCCAAATGCCAGCCGTAGTCGGGGCTGACACCAGGGGGCCAGGGGAGTGACCGCTGGCTTACCCCCAAAATGCCAGCCGTAGTCAGGGCTGGCACCAGGCCGAGGCAGGAGCTGGGAGCTCCGTCTGGGTCTCAGCTGGGTCAGGGAGCCCAGGCACTTGGGCCACTTTCTGCTGTCTCCCAGATGCATTAGTTGGAAGTTGGATCAGAAGCAGAGCAGCCAAGACTTGGCCCAGGCACTCGGGTGAGGGAGGGGGAGACTCACGCAATTGGTCAGCCCACGGTAGGAGCCACAAGGTCTTTCCCTGCAGTTAGCAGTTGGTGATGGGAGCACGCCTTCCTGCTTTGTCATTACAGCGATGTAACTTTTGATGGTAAGGAGCAGATGCAGAGAGCCGCAGGTTAAGCAGCCCTTCGCCACTCCAGCTTCCTCACCAACATGCACAAGAAAGGAGTGGAAGGTGGACCAAGGGCTTGGGTCGCTGCCACTCAGAGATGCTGAGGCTCCAGCCTTGCCCAGCGCAGTGGCCATCTGGGCAGTGATGCCTCTCCGTCTGTCACCCTTTGAAATAACATCTCGAGCACAAGCAGATCTGTGCTGGCCACAGTACACCAGGTCTTTTTAATAAACTTCTCTTTTCTTGGCCTTTTTTATTTTTCAAATTCATTTATTTGAAAGCAGATTTACAGACAGAAGGGGAGAAATCTTCCATCTGCTGTTTCACTCCCCAAATGGTCACAATGGCCACAGCTGAGCCAATCTGAAGCCAGGAACCAGGAGCTTCGACTGGGTCTCCCATGTGGGTGCAGGGGTTCAAGGATTTGGGCCTTCCTCCACTGGTGTCCCAGGCCAGAAGCAGGGAGCTGGATGGGAAGAGGAGTAGCCAGGATGCGAGCCGGCTCCCATATGGGACGGTGGTGCTTGTAGGGGGAGCATGAGCCAGTTGAGCCATCGTGCTGGGCACCAGCTCTCTCCTGGTTGGCCCACACTGACGTTTGGCTCTCAGGGCAGTGATGGGCTTGGTTGTCCTGGCTCGCCGTGCTCTGTGTGGTGCCTGAAGCACTCAGGACACGGGTGCTGGAGTTGCCTGCTCTGCACAGAGCGTGCTCAGTGCTCAGTCGGGTCCATGTGGCAGGTTGAAGCTCATGTGGTTATTTGCCTGTGGACGCTTGCCCCGACCACCCTGCCTCCCCTCCCTGGGGTCTTCTGGAGGGTTGTGTCCTGTGTGTTTCTCTCCTTTGAGGGGCACTGGCCCTGGCTGGGCTTTTGAGACAGCAGCAGGCGTGGAGAGTGCGGGGCTGGGTCTGGCCCGGCCCCTGACCACGGGTTGCTCGCCCATTGCAGAGCCCAAGGTGGTGTTTGCCAAGGAGCAGGCGGCGCACAGCGAGGTGAAGACCGAGGCGGGGGCCAGCGCCACACTGAGCTGCAAGGTGGCCCAGGCGCAGACGCAGGTGGCGTGGTGCAAGGATGGGAAGAAGCTGAGCTCGAGCTCTAGGGTGCACGTGGAGGCCGCGGGCTGCACGCGGCGACTGGTGGTGCAGCAGGCGGGCACGGCGGACGCCAGGGAGTACAGCTGCGAGGCCGGGGGCCAGAGGGTCTCCTTCCGCCTGGACGTGGCAGGTGGGTGCATGGTGCGGGTTGTGGGCAGGGACCACTGGGGTGCAAGGTGACACATGCACAGCAGGAGGTGCCGAGGCCATGGCTTCGTCTCCCTCTGGGGCCCCCGACTGCAGGGCCCTGGCTGTGCCCGGTGCCTCCCGCGCCAGGTTGTCGCGCCTGCAGACCACAACTTCAGCAACTCACTCCTGCTGTTAACATTCCCACATCCATGGCCAGTGACTCCAGCTTCTTGTAGAATGCACTCAGGCATTCTGTACCAAGCGGACGGAAAAGCTGTATTCAGGGTGTATTCTGTAGTTTCTCAAGTGACAGTGAGCAGCAGTAGCCCTGGGGCCTCTCCTTGTCAGACAATATATTTATTATTAACAAGCTAATTACTACAAACCTTGTAGATGAGAGAAGGTGCCAATTTTCACCAAGAAAAATGTAACCTTATCTATGGGAAGAGATCCAAATACTTTGAATGTTTTTGTGGTTTAAGCCTTGATTCCCTCTCCGCTAATAACAGTCCTGGAAGTTGTTTTCTTTCAAAAGACGCCCACCAACAGCCTCTGTTTTCCCTATATGTAAAATTATTTGGCTGACACTCTCTTAATGACTTCAGTGCATTTTGCATTGCCAGCCGTCAGCACAGTCTTACCTCTCGGTTCAAGAACTCGGCACCTGCTTGCCTTACAGCATCGGACTGGCTGGTGGTTTAATCTTGTTTTATTGTACACTTCTTTGGTCTAGTTCAGTCTCATGAGTTCTTAATATTGTGTACAACTGAGACACTGCTAATGAGAACGACTACGTGGGCAACTTTTGAAAACTGGCTGGAAAACACAAGACTAAACTGACATGTTAGCTAGAAGGAAAAGCCTGGAATGGCACCGCAGGCATCTCTTGTCAGCCCCCGCTGTCACCAGTGCCACTCCTCCCAGAGCTGCCAGGCGGGCCTGTGGCCTCTGCCATGTTCACACAGTCCTGAGTATCTGCAACGCAAAGTGCCTGCAGCTTCCACCTGCACAGGCAGGCTGACTCGAGGCTGCTTCCCCTGAGCACGCCACAGGATCCCCGCGCACAAAGGCAAGGACAGTAAGAACATAAACAGCACCACGGAGATGGCCTCCGTGTACAGACACACACACAGGCAGAGTGAGCTCAGCCAAGGCACAGGCTGGCTGTGGGACATGTCGTTTATTTTAACTTTATACTTCCTGCAGGGATAATAACATCTTTTGATACCCACAGGCAAACTACATTTTCAAAACTTTGGGCGCTGTCTACTGCATTAAATTTAAGTTAACACATTCCGTATTATATAGACAGTAAAAGTCAGCAACACAATACATTCCAGCGTGTGTTTACATAGAGGACACATCCCAAGACACGCATACAGAGGGTGACAGCCCAGTCCCCACTGGACGCAGTGCGAGGAGCGCGGGGCTCGGCCGGGGAGGCCTAGGTGCCCTTCTTCTCATCGCCCAGCAAGTTCACCGTTGCCTTCTTGGCTGTTGGGAGGGAGAGAAGGTTGTATATCAGAGCTCGGTGCCCAGTGTGGCCACGAGGCAACAGGATTGTGGGTGACTTGGGGTCACATGAGCAGCCCTGGGGGTTCATGGTCAGGGCCGAGGGGCCCCTAGGGCTGTACTGTGTCCCCAGGCCCTCCTGCCTGTCCTACTTTGCCTCACACCTGCCTGTCATGTTCATGACCCGGCCCAGGCAGGCATCTGCTGCTGGAATGAATCTGGGAGTTGAGGGGTCGGGTGCTCTACTGGACCTGGTCAGAAGCTGCCCACACACAAGACAGGTGGGCCTGACCTGGCCCCTGAGGGGACTGTGACGCAGGGCAGCCATCATCCTGTGTGCGGGGCAGCCAGGGGAGTCCCAACAGGCATGGCCTCCGTGAAACCCCAGTGGCCCTGGCGAGGGGATGGGACAGCAGGAGGCCAGTCCCCAGACCCAGGGTTGCAGCACCTGGCCACCCAAGGCACTGGGCTGCCCACACCTTACCTTCTTTGGCGAAGGCATCCGCGGTCTCCTTGGCTCTGTCCTTCAGGTCCTTCACGACACCGTCCACTTGGGACTCGTGCTTTAGGAAGAAGGGGCGGATGATTCGCCGGTAGAGCAGCTCCGCGCCGTTGGAGGGGCTGGGGGCCATGCACCACAGCAGGAAGCCGCACTGCAGGGCAGAGACACTGTCAGCAGGCCCCGCGACACCACAGCAGGAAGCCACACTGCAGGGCAGAGACACTGTCAGCCCCGCAACACCACACCGCACGAAGCCACAGGGCAGAGACACTGTCAGCCGGCCCGCAACACCACAGCAGGAAGCCGCACTGCAGGGCAGAGACACTGTCAGCAGGCCCCGCGACACCACAGCAGGAAGCCACAGGGCAGAGACACTGTCAGCCCCGCAACACCACAGCAGGAAGCCACAGGGCAGAGACACTGTCAGCCGGCCCCGCAACACCACAGCGCACGAAGCCACAGGGCAGAGACGCTGTCAGCCGGCCCCGCAACACCACAGCAGGAAGCCACAGGGCAGAGACACTGTCAGCCGGCCCCGCAACACCACAGCAGGAAGCCACAGGGCAGAGACACTGTCAGCCCCGCAACACCACAGCAGGAAGCCGCACTGCAGGGCAGAGACACTGTCAGCCCCGCAACACCACACCGCACGAAGCCACAGGGCAGAGACACTGTCAGCCGGCCCGCAACACCACACCGCACGAAGCCACAGGGCAGAGACACTGTCAGCCCCGCAACACCACAGCAGGAAGCCACAGGGCAGAGACACTGTCAGCCGGCCCCGCAACACCACAGCGCACGAAGCCACAGGGCAGAGACACTGTCAGCCGGCCCCGCAACACCACAGCAGGAAGCCACAGGGCAGAGACACTGTCAGCCGGCCCCGCAACACCACAGCAGGAAGCCACAGGGCAGAGACACTGTCAGCCGGCCCCGCAACACCACAGCAGGAAGCCACAGGGCAGAGACACTGTCAGCCCCGCAACACCACACCACACGAAGCCACAGGGCAGAGACACTGTCAGCCCCGCAACACCACAGCAGGAAGCCACAGGGCAGAGACACTGTCAGCCGGCCCCGCGACACCACAGCAGGAAGCCACAGGGCAGAGACACTGTCAGCCGGCCCCGCGACACCACAGCAGGAAGCCACAGAGCAGAGACACTGTCAGCCGGCCCCGCAACACCACACCGCACGAAGCCACAGGGCAGAGACACTGTCAGCCCCGCAACACCACACCGCACGAAGCCACAGGGCAGAGACACTGTCTCCTGTCTACCCCCTCACAGGTAAGTGTGTGGTCTGCTTTGTCTCCAGCTGAAAGGCTGAATGAGACAGACAGTCTTCCATGCACCAGTTCATCCCCAAATGCCACAACCGCCAGGACGGGGAGCCTGACACTTTTTTGGGTCTTGGATACTCTCTCTCAAGACCTTGGGACACTGCACCCATGTGGGAGACCTGGAAGAAACTTCCGGCTTCAGCCTGATCTAGCACTAGCCGTTGTGGCCATTTAGAAAGTAAATCAGCAGATGGCAGATCTCTGTCTCTCCCTCTCAATAATATACAGAAAAATCTGCCTTACAAATGGGAGGGCGGGCGGGCCAGAGGAAGGCAGCGTGAGAGGGCCTTTGCGCACAGCAGGCATCCATGGGGGTCAGCACAGGGCACCCCGGGGTCTTCCCCACTTCCTGGCTCCTGCAGTCTGAGAGATGCACGGTGTCTGTTTCTGAAGGACCCTCACACGCGGGTGAGAAGGTAACAGGATAGTATAGCTTAGTGTGCACTTACAGGCACGGCCTGAATTTAAAACACACATGCCTGAATAAAAGGGGCCAGTAAGAGCAGGAAGACTTCGCCAGGGTTCTGTTTGTTTGTTTTTTGCTTTATGTATTTGAAAGGCAGAGTTGGAGGAGAGAGATCTTTCATCTGCTGGTTCACTCCCCAGATGGTCACAATGACCAGGTCAAAGCCAGGAGCTTCTCCTGGTCTCCCCTGTGGGTACAGAGACCCAGTGCTTTGGGCCGTCCTCTGCTGCTTTCCCAAACCACCAGCAGGGAGCTGGATCAGAAGTGGAGCACCCAGGACTTGAGCTGGCACTTATGTGGGAGGTTGGCATTGCAGGAGTGACACAGACATTAGGAGGGTGGTCAGGGAGGAGTAGAGTACGGGTCGAGCATGGTCCTTCCCTGCACAGCCACCTGCCAGGTCAGTACTGTCCCTATGCCCTTAGTAAACTCAACACTAATAGCAGGAAGAGACCCAGAATCCCTCAGGGCTGGACATGCCTCCCTCATGCCCATCCCATGGGCCCACTGGGGTCCAGGACCCCTGCCTGTCCTTGCCCCAACCCCACTCCCCTGCACCTCGTTCTCCAAAACCACATCCGAGACAGGTGCTCTTACCTGGATGCCAGCATCACCTGCAGAGATGCTGCACAGAAGGGGCCCCATGCTCCTCCCATTGGGTGGCTCATCCCCTGGAGGGACACAGCTACCCGGCAGCAGCCCTGCTGCCCACGCCCACCCGCAAGCATGGGAGGCCGGTGTACCTTGAGCATGTAGTAGAAGGGGAACCAGGACAGGAAGAGGTCGGAGAAGAACTCGGCAATGCTGAACACGCCGTACACCACCCAGTAGGTCAGCCACTGCGTGTCGTCCTCCTTGTTGGGACTCTCAATGGCCTTCATCCTGAAGCAAGGCAGACAGTGGGTGCCGAGGGCTCGCAGGGGACATGCCTCATGATGCCCCTCCTGCCCAAGCCACCACCAGACATGGGGACAACAGCCTAGCCAAGTCCCATGCAGTGGCTGGGGCCTCCCGCACCCACTGCCAAGATCTGCAACACAAATCCTAGGAGCACTGAGAGGCCGCCCTGCACGGCAGGCAGGCCCGTCCCAGGAGCAGAGGCCGCCCTGCTCTGTCCCCCGGCCCCAGCAGTGCACGGCAGGCAGGCCCGTCCCAGGCCTCGCTGCCCTTGGCCAGAGGAAGGCAGTAAGCTTGAGAACCCTCAGCTGCCCCACAGACTTCCCGCCGCACGAGGACCCTTTTGGGGCTAACCCTGAGGCCCCATAGCCTCTCCTCCTGCTCTCACTGCAACCCTCAAACCAGAACCCACAAAAAATGGGGCCTCGTCAGGTCTGTGCGTTGGGCTCACCACCTTGCCTGGGTCACAGGAAGCAGCTCTTGTGTGTGCCACGAATGCCTGGGTGTGTGTGTGTGTGTGTCCGTGTATTCTCCATACACACTCCCATGAACACACAGACCCATATACACACAAAAACATTTCGTGAAACCATGGATTATCAACTCACCATGTCTCAACTGTCAAAACATCATTCAGCACCCATGTTTCTCTGAAGAATTCCACCACAGATTAGTCCCTGACCGTCGGCACTGCACGCACAGGCAGGGAGCAGCAGACGGCAGTAAGCCATCAGAACAGGCCACCACTGGCGGACAGCAGGTCGAGCGCCACCTGGAGACCCTGTCCCCATCAGCTGGGCACCCACTGCTCCTGCTAACACCCCTGAGGAGGCAGCGGGATGTGGTCCCAGTGCTCGGGCGAGTTCCTGGCTCCTGGCTCCAGTCTGGCAGCGCCCCCGCTGTGTCCATTTGGTGAGTGAGCCAGTAGGTAGAAGGTATTTCTCTCCTCCTTCCCTCCTGTCTCCCTCTTTCTCTTTCTAACCCCCAACAGGTACACACATGCAGGTGGCCAGACATGGAGCCCAGCTTGAGAGCAGTCAGCTCAACGTTGTGATCTCGGAAGACTTAAACCCGGGCCTGAGCCCAGGGCAACAGGCCACAGACGGGGGCAGGCCACCCTTTCCAGCAGCAGACCAGAGGCCAAGAGCGATGGAAACCTGCCCCCGACAGGCACATCGCACAGCTCCACCACAATGTGGGAAGGTCAGCCCTACCATCAGGAGGGGCAGACAGCAAGCTCCCCTCTGCTCGCACTGGCCCAGGCACCAGGGCCTCAGCTGAGGTTTCGCCTGGGTAGCAGGGACCAAGTGTTGCCTCCCAGCTTCTGCGTTAGCGGGAAACTGGACTCAGACCCCCGGGTCCTCAGATGTTAACCACTAGGACAAAAGCCTGCACTTCTAAAGTGATCTAGAAGGTTTGCCTGAAAAGGAACTCAAAGCAAAACTGCAGGTGATGATTCTGAGAGCTCAGACACGGCTCAGTCCTCGTGGTCCCGGGGTCTACAAGGAGCAGTGCTGTCCCCCACCAAGCTGCAGCCAGCAGACTCCACACACCCTCCCCTCTCCCAGCCTCATCCTGAGCTGACACGGATCCAGACTTACAACTGCCGCTGGGGTGAGACCCTGCCCAGGCCCCATGGACAGACGCCCAGTCTCCCTGCCCGTCCCTGCGCTCTGCAAGTGTTTCCTGCCCCGTGCTCAGCACCCACCAGGGCGCAGCGGTTCCTGGAGTTCTCTCCTGAGCTGTCCCCTGGCTTCCTCCACACAGATGGCCAGAGAGGAGAGGCGGCAGCAGGGTGTGAGGCCAGCAGGTGCCCGCAGGGGGCAGCAGAGGGGGCAGCAGGGAGTGAGGCCAGCAGGGGGCAGCAGAGGGGGCAGCAGGGTGTGAGGCCAGCAGGGGGCAGCAGAGGGGGCAGCAGGGTGTGAGGCCAGCAGGCGCCCGCAGGGGGCAGCACTGAGGCAGGAATCCGGGCTCTGAACACCTCATCCCACAGAACCAAGGTGGAAGGCAGCTCCAAGCCAAGCTAGTTCACACTCAACATGTCAGAAAATGAAACGTTAAAAACCGGAGAAGCACCTGCTTATACACTTGGTATTTGTTTAAGTGATTTCTTTAGTCAAAGAGAACTCAGGTCAGCCATCCACTGGCTCCCCCCGTGTCCAGGCCAGGTGGGTGTGAGCCAGGACTCCACCCATGTTTCCCATAGAGCTCACAGGAACCCTGGACCTGGGCTGCCTCCCGCCACCTCCCAAGGCAAGCATTAGCAGGAACTGGATGGGATGCAGAGGCGGTGTCCCAAGTGGCTCAACCCGCTGGGCCACAACGCCCACTCCCCCCGACACTTTTTCAAAGGGCTACAGACTGCCTGGATACACTGGAGTCTCCTCAGACGCTGTGACATCAATGCAGAGAGACCCCTGGGACAGCACTGAGATAAACAGCCGGCTGACCAGGTGGGTGTTAAAACATGCTATTAGCTGCAGACTCTGGGGCGGCAGAGCCCACCTGCTGGCCTCTACAGGGAGCCGGCCCCTGGGAGTGTGCAGGGTGGGTGGGGGGAGTTCCAGGGGCACCTACCCTACACAGCAGGCTTGCTGCAGCCACTTCCTCTTGGGGATCACAGAGGCAGAGAGGGCCTGCCACTGCCCTCCACACGGGACAGGACCCACTGCCACCCTCCACACAGGACAGGACCCGCCGCCCTCCACACGGGACAGGATCCACTGCCACCTGGCCAGGCTTCGCACAAGCCTCACTGCACAGCCGTGGGCTACCAGGTCAGTCCTTCCTGGCTCTGGGCCACCCTCCTAGGCTGGGCTTCTGGGCAAGCTGGCCTACTCCGGGCTCCACTCGCTCCCCCTTCACTCTGGATGTGGGGCTCTATGCAGGTGGCGCAGGGGATGCAGCCTTGAAGCTGCAGGAGAGGACACACCCAGAAAACCTCCCTGGAGGGACAGTCACACCTGTCGCCCACAGAGGCAAGGCAGAGACGCTCAGGGCGGAGCTGGCCGACTTAAACCGGCTAATAAGGCTAAGAGCAGATTAGGGAATTACCTGTGGATCTTAATTACACCCCAAAGCTCCCAGGCTCTCAAAGCCAAAGAAAGCTGACTCCCAAGGCTGCCTGCAGGCCAGGCAGTCACAAGCCCTGGGACTGGCCACCTCCTCTCACCCACCCTGCCCCCGGTATCGTCCCACCTCAGCTGCTGCCTTCTAAAAGTGGGACGGGAACCCGGTGTGGCCACGGGAGAGCACGGCCATGCAAAGGCAGCACAGGCTAAGCAGAGCGGGCACCGGGCTGCCCCACTGGAGACCCGAGGCCTAGCCACAGGGCAGAGATGGGCCACACGGGACACGCCTGTCCCACAATGCTCCAACTAGCAGATGCCTTCGCTCTCAACCCATTTCAGTCATTGGGGTCAACGGGGCCCACGGATCCAGATGCCACAATGTGGGGATTCACCCCTCCACCACGGCCTGGCATGCAGGAGAAGAACCAGGAGGAGCCAAGCAGCAGAGGGCTGGGGCCCACTTCCCAGGAGGAAGCTGCCTTGCACGTGTTTGCCCGATGGGAGATTCAATCACTCCCGGCGTGGACACCCAGCGGCACGCACAGCAGACAGGACTGGCGCACACGGAGCGCACCGCCAGCCCTCACATGAGCTAAGGAGAGGTGTCCCTTGAAGCCAACTGTGCCCATCGACAAGACCTTGACCCTGACTGGGTTTCGTGCCCCAAGCAGGACCCAAAGCCCCAGACACACTGATGGCAGAGACAGGCAAGACCCGCTCCCGGCCCGTCTGCCTGCAGGTTTTGTTCCGAACGTGGTGCAGCCCGTTCTCAATCACATGTTCCATGCCAGTATGCACGGCAGATGCCCTGGAGCCAGAGCAAGAACACGGGGCCTGGCAGTGGGCAGAAGTCACCCACCTCCGAGCTACTGCCCGCAGCTGCTGAGGGATGTCCCTCACGGGGGCCTCCAGGAGGGGAAATCACCCGTTTCCATGCCAACAAGAAGGGTAAGTCCAGGGACTGTCTTGACCCCTGGGCGTGTGGGCAGCAGCCCAGGGCAGCCTGTGGACTGCTCCCCCGCACCCCACCATCTGCCGAGATCTGGGGCAAACAGCAGGGACCCTCTGAGAGCTCACAGCAGCCTTAGGCTTCCTGGAGCCCAAAAAAGATTAAAAATCCATGCCATTTTTCGTGAACCTTCCAAAGACTCCTCCCAGGAGTGGATTTCAAAATAATGTAAATCATATTTTTAATCATTTTGTTTCTAATTTTATTTTCAATTCATTTTCAACTCTTTTTCATTCTGTTCATTGCTTCTCAAGCATGCCGAAGCTGCCTTCTCAGATGACCACACAAAAACAGTGAGAAAACACACCGTGTCCTGTGCTCATCACCCAGGGCCGTCCTGCAGCATGAACTCGCCGACCAACGTGCGGAAACGCACATGGCACAGCAAGTCTCCAGGACCCTGCTACCCGCAGGGCATCCCTGGGAGGAGCTGCTGGCCAGGGCCATGGGCCCTGCAGACGCTTGGGGCAGGAACAGGCAGCTGAGCCCCTCTGGGTCACCTTCTCTCTGCCATTTGACAAACAACAAAACCGCTACAACCACTTGATAGATGGAGCAAGAAACGTAGTTGTGAAGCTAGCGGGGCAGCCCTCGTCAGGAGTTGATGGCTCTGTGACTGATGCCCGTGCCAAGGCAGCGCAGGGCAACACATCAGGAGCCACCTGAGGCTGCGACACCTGTCACACTCAGAGAACGGGGAAGAGCATGCATCAGCAGCACAGAACAGCGGGGCGGCAGCCACACGTCACCCTTACATTCCAGCTGCTGCCAAGAGTGGCTTCATGAGTAACTTCACAAGTATTTACAAGGCCCAGCGCTGTGGGTGAGATGGGTAGAGCTGCTGCCTGTGGCACCAGCATCCCAGATGGACACCAGTTCAGGTCCAAGCTACTCCACTTCCGGCCCAACTCCCCGCCAAAGCACCTGGGAAGCAGCGGACCAAGAATAAACCATTTAAATGGCTCATCATATTTCCTCCCTCGAAACCTTGTTTTGCTCACAAGGCAGGCAAACCTGGAAGGACTGAACCAAGCTGCTGGTTGCAACAACGGTGACACAGTCAGTGCTTCCCACCTCTCTGCCATGCCTTCATCTTGCACCAGCTCGGCAGTGTGGGCGCTGATGCGAGTAAACCCAGCTTGTCCAACGCCAGCAACAGTAAACAGCTTCCGTTCTGCAGCCCTCCGCGCTGCAGGCCCAGGTTCCCATTGGCCACACAGGCCACGTGGCCACGTCAGCTCCACCCAGGATTCTGGCCACCTGGATGAGGCCGGGTGGACGTGGGCGGGTGTCTGCCCCCCAAACTCGCAAGAAGGAAACAGAAGCAGTGTTAAGATAAGGGCAGTCCAAGCAGCCAGCAGCACGTGCATCCCAGCACCACCAAGCTCCACCTCACGCAGACCAGCAGAAAACAAGTGCCATCACCTCAAGGCCGCCTCGGGCTCCTTGCTGCTCACGAACCTGGGGGAGTCGCCACCTGGCTCCTCTTCCCGATGCTCCCCCCCCAAGGCATTCTCACTGCACTGCCAGGCGCCTTAGCTAAGTCACTGCCACAGCATTGACTGAATTGCGCTACAACAAAATTTTCTGCTTAGTTTTTATCTGAAAAGAAGACCAAGAATGAGAGTGAAAGAAAGACACTTCGTATCCAAGGGCGCACTCCCCACATGCCAGGGCTGAGCCAGGAACTAGGAGTCCCCCCGGCCGCTCACGCATGTGCAAGGAGCCCAGGGCATGAGCACCACCAAGCAGCTGCCAAGAACCATCCCGGCAGGGACTCAGCACCCAGCATTGCACCACGGGATGCTGCCCCAGGCAGCAGGTCTCACCTCGCAGGGTCCACTCAGAGCAGCTCTCTTGGCCACACGGAGCTGGGGGGCCACGGGAGACCCCTGGATACCCACCCCAGCCCCTGGGCAGTGAGCAAGGGCACCTGTGTACCTGCCCACACACTTAGAGACCTCACAGGAAATGGAGTTCAAGGAGAAGCAGAATGGATAGCTAAGATACCAGTTCAAATCCCGTGACCCACCGAGTCCATGGATCCAACACCAGCTAATGCGGCCCAGGGTCCTCCACCGCGGGGAGTCCTGAGTTCTGGGCTCCTGGCTTCAGCCAGGCTCACCTCTGCAGTGGTGGCCATTCTAGACCAGCTCCTGTCTCTCCCTCTCTGTAACTCTGCCTTTGAAATAAAATTATGTGTGTGTGTGTTTATTTATATATAAACATGTATTTAGTTAGTTAGTTTTATTAGCAAGGCAGAGTTACAGACAGAGATTTTCCTCTGCTGGTTCATTCCCTGAGTGTCTGCAATGGCCAGAGCTGAGCCAAACCGAGGCCAGGAGCCAGGAGCCGGGAGCTTCCTCCGGGTCTCCCACTCAGGTGCAGGGTCCCGAGGCTTTGGGCCATTCTCGACTGCTCTCCCAGACCACAAGCAGGAAGCTGGAAGGAGCAGCCAGGATATGAACCAGCACCCGTATGACATCCTGGCGCTTGCAAACTGAGGATTTAATCACTAAGCCATCGTGCTAGCAGGAACTTATCTTTGTTTTCCAGGACCTTTTCAACATTTCCACACAGGTATGGAGAACACCGCCTAGGGGCGCGGCAGCCATACCAAGAGCTAAAGGCAGTACAATGTGCTACACCCATGCCAGAAGCTTCAAGCAGGCCGACAAGCACACTCAGAAAACAGCCCTCGGCGGGCTCTGACGTCTGCCAAGCACCAGCATCAGACACAGACCCCAGCTGCTGGACTCTCAAGCCAGCTACGACCACCACAGACCAGAAGGTTCTGCACCAAGTGTGGCCACTCAGGCCCTTAGGGGACGTGCTCCTCTGTCTCCCCTCCTCTGGCAGCTGGGCTGCTCGCCTGGCCTCCTCAGCCCAGCTCCGGCAATCCCACAGGGTGGCAGCCCGATTCCTGAGAAAAAAATGGGAAACAAGAGGAAAACAGACACGTCTACAGAGCTTCACGGTCTTGGGGTAATACGGCTCCCTGCAAGCCAAAGGTGATGACGGCATAGGGGCCAGCGGAGTGGCCCGGCTGGGAGGTCGGCCCCTGCGGTCCCCACATCCTGTATGGCTCCATTTCCCAGCTGCACCTGGGAAAGCAACCGAAGATGACCAAGTGCTTGGGCCCCCAACTGACACAAGGCACCCAGAGGAGTCGCATGGCTGCTAGCTTCAGCCTGGCCAGCCCTGGCCGTCGTGGCCACTTTGGGAGTGAGCCAGTGGAAGGAAGATCTTTACCCCTTTCAAATAAATAACTTATAAATCTTAAAACACCAAGGATGGGGCTACTGACCATCCGTCAGCAGTCCACATGGCGAGCGGGGGCCAGCAGAGGACGAGAGCACACCCACAGTCATCCCACGCACGGCTTCACCTACGGCAAGGTCACGGGCACAAGCGGGAGGCTGCCCTGGCTGCCTAGCACACTGAGGCAGCCGTGTGCTGCTGTCTCATGTGGACTTGGCCGAGAAACTGCTCCACTACGCACCCACCCTGCCCCTGCTGCCCGGTCACCCACATCCTGCCTGGAGCTGCCATCGTCAGGAGTGGGGGCGGCACTGCCCTCGGGGCCAGTCGGTCTGCTGAGACACATGCTGCCCAGTAAAGTCCTTGCAAGAAAACAAACACCCAGAACGTAGTTGCCGTTGGCTAGGTGAGTTTGAATTAGGCTACTGCCCAAGGTATTGGGTCCCACATGGACCCTGGCTCAGGTCCCGGCTGCTCCACTTCCCATCCAGCTCCCTGCCTGTGGCCTGGGAAAGCAGCAGAGGACGGCCCAAAGCCTTGGGACCCTGCACCCGTGTGGGAGACCTGGAAGAGGCTCCTGGCTTCTAACGTCAGATCAGCTCAGCTCTGGCCATCGCGGCCACTTGAGGCATGAATCAGCAGACGGAAGATCTTCCTCTCTGTCTCTCCTCTTCTCTGTATGTCTGACTTTCCAATTAAAACAAACAAACACAAAAAAAAACTTTAAAAAAGAAAGAAATAGAACAGGTGACCTTGCAGGAGCAGGTGGATCGGCTGGATGTGCCCTTTCGGGGTGAACCATCTGGGACCCGACGGCAGCGACATGTGTCTCACACATGGCAACTGCCAACGAGTTCCTCAGGCTGGGGAGGGGGTCTACTTCACAGCCAGGCGGCGGGTGAGGCTCCGCCAGCACAGGGTGACACTGGGGTCCACAGCCCTGCCCTGGACAGCAGAAGGTGTCCCTGGGTGGGGGCAGGGCCTGAGCTGCAGCCAGGAGCCTCCTTCCCCCTCGGCCTGCCCAAGGCGCGAGCAGGCAGGAGCTTGTCTGCACCCTGCGGCCTCCTGACCCACGCAGATGCTTTCCCAAACGGGGCGCCCCCTCCCCAGGGCACAGAGCCCCACACGCAGACCCAGCAAGCACAAGGAGAGGCAAGAAAGAAATGGAGCAAGTTTCTGGCAGGAAAGCGGCAGGACCAATTCCGAGGTCCCTGCAGCACGAACGACCTTGAACATCCATGTTGTGACAGCACCAGCCTCTGGAAAAGTCGCACTAGGCCATCAGACACGCAGCTCTCATCACCACCTGGCAGGACACGCACACACACTCCTCGCCTGGCGACACACACGGGGCACGGCCGTGGCCGGAGCTTCTTCATGTCCTCAATACTTACAAAACAAACCCCACTGACTGCAGCTTCAGTACCGAGCAGCTCCACAGCCACCAAAACCACCCCCTAATCTATTCCAGCGGAATCAATTAACTCCACACTCCAAGGCTGCAAAGTGGCCTAAAGGCCTCCTGGGTAAGAGACTGCCAGGGGAAGGCACCGTGTCCCTGTCAGGGCAACGGGGTGAGGGGCCCGACCCCAGCCAGGGTCCCTGTGCCACCCACAGCTCAGCTGACACCAGGCCCAGCCACTGTTCTGGCACCTGTGCCAGCGCCATGTTCAGGGTCTGGCCTGGGCATGTCCTGGAACACAGCTGAGCCTTCGAGGGGCTCAGGAGAAGGACACTCCCAAACCCAGGCCTCTGACGCCGCCTGCACCCCACAAGCAGCCCCTGTGAATATGCGCCCCCATACAGAGCCAGAAGGAGGACCCATACAGGCCAACAGTGTGGTCTCCGCGGCCTAGCAGGGGGTTCTCTTTGCGTCTAGGACCCAGGAAACCTGAAGACCCCTCCGGCAGAACGCTCCACAGACCCAGAAGCCACTTACCTCGCGGAGTTCCTGCTGACCTAAACGAAGGAAAAGCATCCAACTCGAATCCACTGAAGCAGCCGCCCCAGCTGGGAGCACCAGCGCCTTGCTACTTGGTGAGCTGGCTTTCAAGAGCGTTTCCGTATTTCAACGGATCACTGACATCACCAAGGAGCCCTACTGTGGGTGAGTTCTATACACTTGGTTTCTTGCAAAGCAGAAACAGACTCCGGCTCTCCCGCCCCCGCGGGGCTCCCCAGGGCGGGTCCCGCTTCTGTTTTCGCGGAGGCGAAGGGGAGGGTCTGGTGAATGTGCCAGTAACCAGGCCCTGTGACCCGCAGCGTCCGACGGGGACCGGCCCGCTCAGGGCCCAGCCGCGGCGGCGGGCACAGGGGAGACGCTGCACCTGCCGGCCGCAGTCGCGGGGTCGCGGGGGGCGGCCGGGATTCCGGGGAGCCAGGGAGGGCGCGCGCGGGGCCACTTACGACATGTAGGCCGGGTATCCGAACCCGATCAGGTTGCAGAGGAGGGAGGCTCCGTAGCCGAACACCAGGTACAAGGCCAGCAGCCCGATGACACCTGCGGGCGCCACCAGGCCAGGCGGTCGGCGGGCGGCGCGCACAGGCGTCCCGGCCCCCGGCCCGCTCGCCCCGACCCCGGCCCCGGCCCCGCGCCACGTCAGCGCAGCCCGTCGGCCCCTCGCCCCGGCCCGGCGCACCCACCGAGCGCGATGAAGCGGCGGTTGACACCGCTCTTGGCCTCCAGCTTAGCCAGCAGGTCGGTCACGCAGTTCTTCTCGTGCAGGAAGCGGTCGAGCCGCTCCCTCATGGCGGCGGACATGGCGAGGCCGTGGCACGCGGGCCGGGGCAGCGGCGCGCGGGGCGGACGGAGGCGGCGGGACGCGGAGCCGGGCGCTCCGGGGCGGGACTGCAGCGTCCGCTCGGCCGAGTCCGCCCGCCCCGCCCCGCGTCCGCCCGCCCCGCCCCGCGCCTCCCGCCCCCGGCCGCCCGCCCCGGGCCACACCCGGGCGCGCCGGGGACCCTGGCTGCCAGCGCCCGGGGTGGGGCGGGCCAGCGAGCGGGAGCGGAGCGCGCACTCCTGGACCCGGACCACCCTTGCGCAGCGGGACACTTGTGGTGCGCCCCTAGGCTACCTCCTGGCCCAAAGAAGATTAGGAGGGAGGGGCCGTGCGGGGTGGGGGTCCTTCCCCCAGCGGTCACTCTGCTGTTCTACTCCAGTCGTGCCAGGAGCTGTCACTCGGTAGCACCGGGTGGTGGTTGGGTGCAGGGACAGGATGGGATAGTGTCTGCTCACCCCCTTCCCCCATCAGGACAACACTTACCGGCCAGGGAGAGCCGAGCTGTACCCGGGCCTGCTCAGTGTCCCCAGGTCTGTGTCACCTCCCTGCCTTTCCCTGTGCCCTACACCTGCAGTGCCCTGGGACTTGGCACTCGGCAGGCACGCGTTGACTGTGTTGAGTGATGGGGTATCGAACAGGCATCGTGTTACCTGCCACTCAGTTTGGTTTTTTAAAGATTTTTTCATTATTCTTTGAAAGGTCAGTGACAAGGAGATCTCCTCTGCGGGGTGGCCCCCCTGATAGCCAGGTCTGCACGAGGCCAGGCCAGACCCGCGTTTCCAGCATCCCCTAGGCTGGTTGCTGAGATCCTTACCATGGCAGGAGGCACATGAGCTCTGCCATGGGCTGAACTGCCCCTGTATGCCACATGCCTCCTGGCTCGACCCTTGACCCCCCAAAGTGGGGTCTCGTTCGGAGATGAAGGGGTGGGGGCTCTCCATCTTGCTGGACTGGTGTCTTCAGACCAGGGGAAGTCGGACCCCACCGAAGGAGGTAGAGGCAGAGGAGGGCCCTGCCCCCACCAGGTCGGGAGCCCACCTGGGGTGTGGGACTTGAGGTCCTGACCCAAGGAGGCCCTGTGTGTGGTTCCTTCAGCCCGCGAGAGCCAGACAGCGCTTCGCTTTGACTGGGCTGCTGCACTGGCTCATGCTGCGGATGGAGCCGGCCTTGGAGCATCCAGGTGAATGCTTCCCTTTGTTTATCAGCTAAGGAGCCAATCCCCTTCCACTGGGGCCAGAGGGGCTCGTCTTGTGCCACACGGGACACACAAGGAGCATCTGGTGGCAGCCCACTCATATGGTTGTTCTATGTACCAAACCTAGTTCCGCCCTGGTTATCTCCAGGGGCAGGCATTTGGTGCCTTGGCCAAGAACCCCCTGGAGTGCTCCATCCCCTAGCAGAGTAGCCGTGCTGCAGTCCCAGCTTCTGACTCGGAGACATCAGGTGACAGCCCACTAGGTTTCCTGCCAGTCACATGGGAGACTCAGAATGAGTTCCAGACTTCTGGCTTTAGCATGGCCCAGCTCTGGCTTTAGCATGGTTTTGGCATGGTCCAGCCCTGCTCCAGCCATGGTCCTGGTTTTGGCATGGTCCAGCCCTGGCTGTTACAAGGCCCAGCTCTGGCTTTAGTGTGGCCCAGCCCTGCCTGTTGTGGGCTTTTGTAGAGTGAACAGGCCAATGAGGGATGTTTCTGTATCTTTGTCTCTTTGTTTTCCAAAGAAAATGCAATGGAAAAATAAAACCCCTCGGGGTCTCGTGCTGAAATAGAGAAATACAGGCTTTGGGAAATCGCGGGGTCGTGGGGGGCATGAGAACCTGGGCTCGCGGAGGTCGTGACTGCTGGGTCACACCCTGGTAGGTGGAGGCGGATGCAGAAGAGACCCTGTGTGCAGTCCCAGGGACCAGAGAAACCGGGTGTTCTTGGGGAGGCCGTGAGAAGCTGGCCTGGGGCTGGCTCGGTGGACGGAAGCTCCTCAGGCTAACAGGAAGGCGGCCTTCGTGCTGCCCAGGAGGCGAGAGCGGAGGCCGGTCCCTCCGCTGTGCCACGTCGCAGAAGGCGCATGCCCCTTCCCAGAGTGCTCATGCAGCTTGCTGAGGAGCAGGGCAGACCCAAGTCACAGCAATCTCTCACATCACTCCTGTCCCAAGCAGGTGCCTGAGGCAGGCAGAAGACCCTGGCCCCCTCAGCACCCCCACTTCTGCTGGGGGAGAGGGAGGGAGAGGCAGATGAGGGTGCAAAGACAGAGTAGGGGCAGGCGTCTGGCACAGAGGATGAGCCACTGCCTGATACCAGCACCCCATGCAGTGCCCTCTCATGTCCCAGTGGCTCCACTTGCAATCCACCTCACTGCTGATAGGCTGGGAAAGCAGGGAACATGACCCACGCGTGGGCCCCTGGGGGAGACCCAGCTCTGGGTGGGGGACACCTGAAAGAAATTCCTGGTTCCTGGCTCTGGCGTGGCTCCTGCAGCTTTTTTTGGTAGTTATTCATGGTTATAAGATTTCTCTGTCTCCCTCTCTTTCTGTAATTCTGACTTTCAAAATAATTTTTTTTTTAAATTTATTCATTTTCATTTGAAAGGGGAATTTAGAGAGAGATGGAAAGACAGGAAGATCTATCGCTGGTTCTCGCCCCACATGGCCACACTAGCTGGAGCTGAGCTGATTGGAAGCAGGAGCCAGGAGCCTCCTCCGGGTCTCCCATGTGGGGGCAGGGTCCCAAGGCTTTCCCAGGCACATCAACAGGGAGCCAGATGGGAAGAGGAGCCTCCGGGACATGAACTGGTACCCACAAGGTATACCAGTGCTTGCAGACAGAGAAGTAGCAAGATCAGCTGCCACACTGGCCCTCGAGTAGACAAAAGAGCAGACAGAAGCTGAGCTACATGACTGCGGGGGGCTGAGCTGCAGGGGGGGACAGGAAGACTGTAGGGGGCTGAGCTGCAGGGTGGGGGACAGGAGGACCGTAGGGGGCTGAGGTGGTTCCCCAAAGCATGGCAGCAGGACGCTGTGGAAGCAGCAGGCTCCCCTGAGCACACCTGAACCCACACTTTGCTTTCCTTCTCATTTCGTTCAGCATTTTCTGCTGGAAATCCAGATGAAGCAATTTGCTGCATTTCTCCACTTACCAAACAGGAAGTTGAGTTTTAGGAGGTTTCTGCTCATGACCAACACTGAGCCAACCAGACACTGTCTCACATGAAAACCAAGTGCCCGTGCCAGCACAGCTGCGTAGGAACCCACAGATTTGCCCCGGTAGCCCGGGCAGCCTCTGCTTCCCCCTCAGGCATCCTGGCTGACGCCTGCTCAGGGGACAAGCAGGCTGCTTTCTCTCTGCTCAAGACTGGTTATTCTGGTCCCAGAGGAGCTCTGAGCTGGGGACCCACATGGGCCAGTTCAGCCCAGCATGCTGCGCGATCTGGGTTCACCCACGTGCTCTCAGGGCACCCTGCAGTTGGCTTTTTTTTAGAGAGCCAGGCTCAGGCAGCTGTGTGCTCTTCCCTGCGTGACTCATGCCTCAGGGCAATTCAGGGAACTGGACCGAGAGGACGGCAGGTGGGGCTCAGAGCCTGCGGCTGCCGCCGTTTCTGACAGCGGTCAGCTGTGTCTGTCCTCCAGCTAGAACATGAGCTCTGCCCACAGGCCGCCCAGACACTGTGGCTCAGCTCTGTGCTCTGGAACGTGGCCTCCACTCCCATGCCCCAGATGCTCCTTTGCAGAGGCTCATGGACACGAGCTGTTGGCAGCCTCGGCTTCAGTGGTCCTCAAACTGGGGTTCCCTCTTCATCTTGGAAACCACTGGGAGCTGGTGGAATTGCTGCTGGGATCCGAATCAGTCTGTCTGCCTTTGTCTTCTGCCTCCTGCAGGATCCATCTGTCTTCTGCTTCCGTTTTTCTTTTTAGATTTATTTATTTTCATTTGAAAGGGAGATTTAGAGAAAGGAGAGACACAGAGATCTTTCATCTGCTGGTCTACTCCCCCAGTGGCCACAATGGAGCCAAGAGCTTCTTCTGGGTCTCCCTTGTGAGTGCAGGAGCCCACACAATTGGGCCATACTCTGCTGCCTGCCTACGTCATTAGCAGGAAGCTGGATTGGAAGTGGAACCACCAGGACCCCACTGCATGCCACTATCAAATGGCATGCAGATGCCACAGGTAGAGGCTTAGCCTACTAGGCTGCAGCACTAGCCCCTGCTAACACTTCTAAGGACCTGTGTGACTAAGCTGGGCCCACCCAGGTAACCCAGAATAATCCCCCATCCTTAGATCTGCCATTTAGCACGTCTGCAAAGTCCCTTAGGCCAGGTAAGGTCACACGATCATAGGGTCCAGATATGAACATCTGGACAGGCCAGGAGCCAGCCCTCTGTTGCCATGACAGCCTTACACGTGCCCCATCCCACCTCAAGACCCCCACCAGAATGACTGAGCTGACACCCAACAGCTGCCTCAGCCGAGGACAGGCCATGGGTTGAGGCCAGGATTCCAGACTCTGTTACTGAGCAGACGTGTGGTCTCGGGGGTCCTCCTCATCCTCCAGAAGCCCCCCTCGCTAAGGGCTGGTGTTGGAGTCACTCTCGGTGCTGGTAGAGCAAAGCTGGTGACCTGCAGAGGACCCAGCACATGGTCTGCGAGAGAGCTAGCGTGGGTTTCCATCTGTAACGGGGCTGCAGGGGAGAGGTAGGGAAGCAAAAGTGGCGCTGGGCACATGGGCCGTGTCAGTGCATGCGTGTGCAATCGCTCACACATGGTTTGGCCCCTCACTCATGAAGGTGCTTAGCCCCAGAGTCCTAAGTTAAAGGGGGCACTCAATCAATGGTGTTTGATGGGGGGCTGCTAGTGGGGGTGCTTAGCCCTTGGGAGCCACCCTCGACAGAGGGGAGGGAACTTAGGACTGCCATGTGGCAGAGGGAAGTGTGCCCTGCAGGCCCAGGATGACATGGGCAAGACGCTGACCACAGCACTGGCGTCAGGTAGCTGTTGGGCTGTCCCTGGCTGGCATGCAGCAGCTGATGCGGTCTCCCTGCATTCTGTCT